TGATCGGAGTAGGTTATTGACTCTCCAGTTGACAGTTTGCAGAGTCCACTTCCATTCCACCTGCTTTCGCAGATTCCTAGCACTTCTATGACATACCTTATCATCTCTTTTGCAATCTGAGCAGCCTTGCTAAGCTCATGTCCCCACGTTTACTTTTGTTTTCACCGAGGGAGAGAAGACGTGTCGGCCAATCGGCTTCTGAAAGACTTTCACCAACCGGCGTCATTTCGACCCTCCGATTTCAGCGAGGAATAATTTTGTTTTTAGTTTTAATATTTTGTTTGTGCTCTGAAGTTTCTGTAGCGGTTGGCTTGGTTTTACGGAGTAGGGTTGCTAGCCCTATGCTCAATCTTCCCTCTTTATGGGGGCTTAGAACCGGCTGGTAACTAGTGTACTAGTTAACCAGGCGAGGTTGTATTCTTCATAGTCGAATAAATTTCCCACCCTAGTTTTTTTCCATCTTACTTGCACAAATGAGAAAAGTCTATTTGACTCATTCACTAATTCACTCACCTCAGTTATATTGGTCTTTACTATAACTGGAACACAGGTAATGTCGAGGCGATGAATTTGTAAAGGTTGTGATACTAGTCTCGGTAATATCATCAGATAAAGATTACCAAGGTAAATTCAGTGAAACAACAAATTGCTTTTGTACACACAATAGGGGCTTGAGTTTACCAATGGTTAACACTTCGATACATTTCAGTATGCACCCCTAACTGTTCCTGTATATTATCATGAAGGCTGTTTCGTATTAACTCTGTGATTCCCTTCAATGATATGTGTTGCTATAGATGAAGATGAATGTCTATCATCTGCACCTATCAAATCGTGTGTGTTAAACTGTTTTTCAAGTGATTTAGGTTTTGTGTTCACCTATGGTAGTCTGAGCATAGTACGATTACTCCTCCTTGTGTATGTGTTCTCATACACAAACCTTGATCATCTTTGTGTGATTATGTTACCAAGACTAGTGTCGCAACCTTTTCACATTCATTTTATATATAAAATGACTTGATAAGCCACTATCTATCATTACTAAAGGGACTAATTAGTGTTATTGCTTGTAATATACCGTCGTTGATTGGACCAAATTGATCGGTCTCTATTGGCGTATGGGCTCTTGTGCGGATGTCGCAATATACCTGTGTTCTAGTTATACTAAAGATCGATAGTGAGAACAACATCATTCAATGGGAGGCAGGTACATCCAGCTGACGAGTCCCAAGTAGGATGAAATGCGCATCGTCGATTCTACTGTTAACCACTATCCATCTTTACTATGAAGGGACTAATTGTCTGAAAATTTTGAAAAATTAAATTCAGATTCACACTCTTGAAAAAGATTTTTCTAGCAAGGTCAAAACATTAAGGAATAATACAAAATATTTGTTTATTTTGTTATTTATCCTAACATACCACATCGGGATTATACAAGTACTAATATACCTTGTACTGTGAGACAACACGGTATCATTTTTCGATATAACTTGAAAATCTTTTTTGCATCATGTGATGATAATGACTCGATACTAAACCCTGTTAATTTTCTTATACTAGTTATCATTATTCCACTTTTGACTATGAAACAATGATGAGATGACATTGACTTCATGTCAAGATCATTTGAACTGGAATGGAACTTGAAAAAATTCGTTTTTCCTCACTTATTTGAAAATGAGTACTATTATGACTTTTAAAAAATACTTAAGTATGATAGTATGACTTTAATATTCGGAATACACTTAAATATTAGAAAAAAAGTTAGTATATTTTTTTGACATACTTCAAGGTTCACTAGAATCCAATTTTTAATGGGAATGCAATTGATAACTGGATCCATAACAAGAGATTGGAAACATTTGTAACATACTTAAATCCAGTCGTGAGTGTAAGGAATGCAATAAATTATTTTTAGCCAGATAAATGATCTTGTAGATGCTAGAAAGCTATATACTTCCTCCCAGTAAGACAAAAATTAACGTAGAACTTCGTACACAAATGTATTGGTTCAAGTTGCTACATTTCATGCCAGCATGCGAAGAATAAGTGGTTAGGAAAGACATATCAAAGTTGAAAAAGTTTTGTAAGAATGAACAATTCAAAGATAATGGTTAGTTCAAATATGGAGGCTTTAAAAAATGTCACGAAGTGAATATATATGGTCCATTGTGACAGATTTCCAGCCATATAACCTAGCGTCCTCAACCACTGATTCCTGTCGTTTTGCAGACCCCATCTACGCAGTGTTTGTCTGCATACATGGCTTAGATCAACAGTCAGAAACTTCACTGACTTGTGCCACGTCTTCGTTTGACTACCGTGAACCTTCTTCCAATCGAATCCAACTTCCCTTGGTATGGAGCGTCGAGGTAGGTGGTGGCTGGGTATGCACAGTACATGACCAACCTATCTAAGTGAACTGAGGTTCACAACCTCATCAATTGACTTGCCTTTTGTGCATAATATCCTTCACCTGACTTCAGCATTGCTCACACTGAGATTTCACAACACTAGAGGAATGGTAGGAAGATATCTGTAATGAAAACCCTGTAATTGGTTCATGTGTTCATGTGTGTAGTGCAATATACTCGGCTTTTGACAGATGTTTGCATATCTCACCAGTCGACGCCACAGATGACGGAAATTGGCAAATGCTAAACGGGTATTCTGTATTCGAACTGAGATTTCGACAGCAACCAGGCTTTTTGGGTTGGTGCAACTCCTTGAATGGTCAACATATTCCATCAATTCATTCCCTATCAATAAACTGGTAGTACTTGCGGCATACCAGTCATGGAGCATCATCTTACAGTTAACAGGTACGAAGCGCATGCCAAACGTACTGAGATTTCTGCTCAGCGCGTTCAGAAGAGTTAAAAAATCTCACTTTAGACAATACTAGGTAGCCATAGTAAGTTATAATATTATTCGATCCCTACTTTTTTCAGAAAAGGTTTAATGGAATTATTTTGATTCATCTCTCGTCTATATTGTGACAGACTACCTTAGAATACTAACCATTGGAGGGGATTTTTGTGACAACTTGAATTTTTAAATGTATCAGTCTTTGCTGTCATTTATAACTTTTAAGTTGGTTGGTAAGTATTAACATTTCAGATTAGTATGTATTTGAGGTTATGAACACAATTTTCTGAAGATTTGTAATTAAGGTTGAGTTCATTAACCAGTTTGCATGGTCATGTGGGCATTACTACTCAGGTGAGTAATTGCAATATACCTAGTTAACAAAACCTAGTAGTAATTCCTTTGGTTATCACGAGAAGACTAGTCTATTGAGTTATTATCATATGAAAATAAACTGTAGCTTTGAACACCGTCAGAACGAAGGTATTTGCAGGATAAAATGAGCTCATTTTTATTTCATGACATTTCGTCAGCTGCAAACAGCCTACAATTGAAGATTATTATTATTAGTGATAATGGCATAACATACTTTTAATATGTAGAAATAAATGGAGATTTGAAATCCAGGATTAACAATAAGGTAGTTAGTCAAAGAAACACAGGATTAACAGTTACAGATCTTGGTCGAAATCAATGGCAGTTTATTTTTAACTAGACAGAAAATTCTAGAGCTATGGAGTGGGGGGGGACGAATAATAAACAGCAGTGTAAGAGGAGTTGTTAAAGAGACTTAGTAAGTTACACAACTACGTGAGAAAACTGGAAAATCGTTACCTGATTAATAGCCAGTAAGTAACTAGTGAGATGATGCAGTCGAAAAAAGAAAGACTATGTACATACATACGTACTGCATCATCTCTTCCTGTGTTTTCTTGACTCACTCACTACCTTATTGTTAATCCTGGATTTCAAATCTCCATTTACTTCGACACTTTTAAGGTGTGTTATGCCATTATCACTGATAATAATAATCTTCAATTATAGGCTGTTTGCAGCTGATGAAATGCCCTGAAATAAAAATGAGCTCATTGTTTGAATTTGTTAGGGGAAACAAATGTATAGGAAGACTGAAGCTTGTTTCCTTGTGAAATAGGAGATCAAATTCGCTTATTTGTTAGGGCCGACTTTAAAGACCACCGTAGCAACTACTGCAATGACCTATCAGGCTTCAGCATTTCATTTAAGGACTGTTATAGTGTGCAATAAGCTTACCGTAAACTCCTGAAGCCTTTTATAACCAGTCATGTTGCACCGAAGTTTCGATAGAAAACACATGTGGTAATACCAGATTGATTGAAGGGACGAAAATCAATAGGATATTCATACCTAAAAAAGCTTGAAATGGTCAAGAACATTGTATGTATATGTATACAAATCATTGTATTTTGTCGATATTTCCAATATTGCAATACACCTTTCATTATTTTACCCAGATCGACTATCAGTAGCACGGAATCTGAAGCTTATTGTTCAAGCATGCATATATATATATATATATATATATATATATATATATATATATATATATATACCAAGTAGTCACTATAAGAATATGATAAGTGACAACAAAGTTACAACAAGAATAAACTTAATTTATTATCTCGGCAGTTGTTAGAGTGGACATCAAAGTAGCTGGCTGTTGGAGTGAAACTGAAATCAACCTGAAACAAAGGTCTCATTACTAAACTGATATATCGTAAACCAGCAAAAACATACCCGTAATTCATAAGTGACCGTCAGCCATGTTTTTTATAGCTCCATTTATCTATCCCGTATCAATACTAGTCTAGCACTAAGAACTATTTAGGGCATAGTCTGATTCATGGTGAAATGAAACTACAGCTTTGCATTCTTCTCTCTTGAAGTGTAATTTAAAGACAGAAAACTGTGACACGAAACCAGAAGACAACGTTTTAAAAAAATTTGAGACGAATATACCAAATACCCTTCGTCAGTTATTAACTCCTTCTAGCTGTTTTCTTCTGCGATACATGCTTATTGATTGAATGGATTCTATCAATGAAATAATAACTCCTTTCTCATTCATTTTTTCTTGGTCTTTCATTGAAGGAAAGGATCGTAAGGTAAGTAAATAATGACCTTACTATTTTCGTAAAATCTTTTCTCTTTAAATTAATCCCTTACATCATAAAGTTCATTTCAGGTGTAAGCTCCCGATTCGTCAACTAGTCTCGATTATTAACTGAGCACAGGATGAAAATAGATAATGTTGTTGACTTTAATGAAACTGAACAATAAAGTAGTTGCTTTCCTGAGTTGTTTTGATATTCTGTTAGAGAGATAGTCAAAGAAATATCATTATTTTCTCCTATGGATGTCCTACACTACTACAATTTGTTTACAAATCTAAACCGAGTATATTGGAGTACAATCTCAGTTCTGTTATTTAAGATCTGAATAAGGTAGGTAACTTAGTCAGTACAATCGAATCAAACAGAGATTAGAGTGGCACCCAGATAATTAGACGTACGATAACGAGTATTTTGATAACTTTAATCTTCCTTAGATTGTGTGTTGTCATTATTAATCCAATTTGCCTCACAAATATAATTTTCTGTGTAATTCTTTCACATGGGAACTCTAACCGTACAGTGTGTCACTGATATTGCAATCACCTGTCAAAGTTGGGAAATGTATCAGTACTCGAATGATTAAAGTTGTCTGATTTATTGACATCTGAAATGAGTTTAAGCTATACCTTTTAACAAACAACAGGGGATGGAGGCTATACACCCTTTAGGCTTCATTCACAAAGATTACAATAAACATTATAGTTCTTTATTGTTTTACTCATATCAACATGCCAATGGGCATAAAATTCTTGTATTAAGGAATCCAGGTGACTGATGTAAGCATGAAGACTTTTTGTTGATAACTTTCATAAGGCATATCATCAAGGAACACCATTAGTGCATGTCAGAGCGTGTTATGAACCAGATATTTTATGGGCAACCAGTAAAATACTTTGATTTTTTGGAATAGATTATATCACAGAGGGTTCAAAGCATTAGAATAATTCTCGTCGCCTTCAAGGATATACATGGTGTTACCGAAAAATCTTTAAGATGAGGACGATATTTTATATGATAATAGTTAACTCTTTATTGAACTATATTTTGTGTTAGATATCGTGTGATAATAACTCTAGTGACTGTGGTATGATATGCTAATAAAGTGTAAGGCTTACAGCAGTACTGGGGCATAATGCTTCTGAAATTTGAGTTCTACGCATACAATTTTCTATGAATCAGATTTAATCGTAGTGAAATGTCAAACAATTTTTTAAAAAGTCACAATAAGTTTGTCTGAAGGTCAGTTTCTTCCAGCTATATCATTCTCATACTATATAGTCACTTGTAAATGGGTATAATTACTTGATAAAGAAAAGGAATATTTAATAAAATATCTCGAAAATATTCGGTTTTGATTAGAGATGAGTTAAAAATTAGTAATTTCCTACTTTCAGTTATTAGAATTTACCTTCCAACTTTACCATAATTTGGCTTACTCTCAGTCTATTAAGGACAGTATTTGCTTATCATAGTTATTCAAACTGAATTAAAGCGTAGTTCATATCAAGCATTTTGTGATAACTTTGCTGTGATATATTTCTGTATTCAGTATAAACCTGATATTCTTCATCCCTTTGTTATTCAATATGATAGAAAACACCTTTAATTGCTTATTACAACTGATATTTATTTTATTGGAGCAAATTTTGTTCCACTACTTTCCCAAAAAACGTTGACAGCAAAAAAAGTTATCTTTATTGTATACATAGCACATCTCAAGATATGTGAAGTTGGAAAAGATCACAGATACTAGTTAGTCTCATTCGATTTTCATTATTTCAATTTATTTCGAAGAATCAGGTGGAGACTCGCCTTTGCACTCCGGCGTGTTGAAGCCTGCGACGATCCCTAATCGGGCTCGCTCGGACGCGTAGTTTTTACCAGTGGGGAGGTCTTCGGATCATCCCTTTAGTGAGTAACACAGTAGAATCATTTTATCTTATTAATGCACAATAGTTAAGTTATGCTGTCTGATTTATGAGTTTCTAATATTTTGAAAATCCAGGAGCCTGTAATACCTCCGGCTACACCTCGTACATATACTGAGGACTCTAGACCTTCAAGAACACCAAGACCAACTGCAGAGCCACCATACACTTTACCACCACTACCACCACCTTTACCTGACGGACCACCAGGACTCAGAGGACCCGTTGGCCCTCCTGGACCTCCAGGACCCCCTGGTGACCCTGGTTTTGACGGAGAGAATGGAATGCCTGGTATGCCTGGCCTTCCTGGTCCAGTAAGTTTAACAGTTCATCAACATTTTTATTGCAATATCTAGAATAAATGTGACGTAATGGCAATAGTGTTAACATATTGACTTCCAACAGGTGGAAAAATTCACACTTTTGTAAAAACATTTTACATGTTAACAAATATTGAGAAGGGTTTCTTCCAAGTAGTGGGCGGGCCAACACCTAGATTTCTGAAATGGATGAAGTCGCACACGGAACAGACAGTTTCTATTAAAAGTAAGTTTGTGAATGGCCACATGATGTCAAATGAAACCATTCTTCTTCCGGACAGATTAATATTCATCATTGGCAGCATATATATATATATATATATATATATATATATATATATCAGGAAAAAGCAGGTGGGTGTGAAAAGAAACCTAAAATACAAGAGATTATTATCACATGAGCTCCTAGCTTTACTTCTGTGGTTTCGTCCAAAGATTAATTTAACATTTCTCACATGATCGGCTGTTGTAAACAATGTTCTCGAGAGTTGGTATGATGTATGAGAAATCTCACGAAAACATTTTTCACAAATTCACTTGTACCAGTATTAAAAAATGATTGTACTACTACTACTACTACTACTACTACTACTACTAATAATAATAATAATAATAATAATAATAAAAATGACAACAACAAAATATATGAGGCAGTATGGAATTTTCAACATGGAATATTCCAACAAATTCACTTTCCATGCAATACTTTTAAAAGAAATAATTATTACGTTTGCATGGTGTTAATGATAACAGTATTGAAGGTATAAGTGTGAAACGGGCAGCTACTGTTACATTAGCATCTGTTGTCGATAAGGAAATAAACACAAAATCGAGTGTAATTTTGATGGTGGTACTTCAGTCAGCCATTACAGAAATTTATAATCGCATACAGATATCCTAAGAATAGTAATGTGGTGTATTTTTGAGCATTTACGAATCCACTTCCAACCGGTGTAACGTTTTTCCTTTATTTTGTTCTTAGCTTAAAAAATGTAAGTTCGAAAACATTTTAAAAATGTACGACAGTACATGATGCGTTCAAAAGACATTTGAAAGATTGAAACAAACTGAAACAGAAGAATTTGATGGAATATAATCGGTGGAAAGTTTTTTAGTAACCCAATGGTTTAAGAAGGCCACTTTATTCTAAGGCACAAGTGTCGAATATGTATGTGGATAATAGTAGTTTGAAAGGCTGAATAACTCATTAAAGATTCCTTACTAATTTGTGACTAACTTTGAGTTATATTTATCGAAGTTTAATTGAACTGTGATCCACTAGATTTATATCCGCTGTCCGAACATCATATGATATCCACTGGGTATTCATAAACATTTTGCCTGTGAGTTTAACGACTAATGAGATCGGGGTTGAGGAGTTTTATGTGAATATACTAATCAACCATTTATTGTCTGTTACTTAGGGCCCTCCGACAAAAGCAGAAGTCCTGAGTGCCATAAAACTACTGAAATGCGAGAAAGCAGCACGACCAGATGGAATCCATCTAGAGGCACTGAAAACAGAAGCAGAGACAACAGCAGACATGCTCACACCACTATTGCACAAGGTGTGGAAGGAAGGGAAGGTACCTACAAATTGACTAGACGAAGGGTTACCTTGTCAAACTCCCAAAGAAGGAAGACCTCAGTGTTCGCAAGAACTGGTGAGGAATCATGCTCCACCTCTGTCCACCCACAGCAAGCAAAATATTAAGCCACATCATCCTGGAGACACTAAAGCATGCACTAGATTCAATACTACGACCGTAACAGGCTGGCTGCATTCAGGAAGTACAAATCATGTGCCAACCAAACTGCAATGCTGCACTACGCATCATCATACAAAAGAGAGTGGAGTGGCTGTCGACTCTCAACCTCAACTTCAGCGACTTTGAGAAGGCCTTCGACAGAGTCGACTGACAAGTAATTCGTCAGCCAGTTGTTTCAACATTACGGAATACCCAACACAAACCATTATCAGCCTCATTCAACAAGTGTATGAAGGTGCCACATGCCAAGTAATTCACAATGGGAAGCTCAGTGATGCCTCTGGGGTGAAGTGAAGACAGGAAGCAGTGAAACAATTCTGTCTACTATGACACATGATATTCCTGATTGTGGTCGACTGGACTGGATCATGCAGCAAACCGTGAGGAGCGAGAAGATGGGGATAGGCTGTTTGACCGATGAAAAGAGATAAGAAGATTTGGATTTCACCGATGACTTGTTTCTGATGTCGCACAAGCTTGAAGATCTACAGGCGGAAACTAATAGTTTAATAGAAGAGGCAGCGAAAATTGGACTTCAAGTGAATGTGGGGAATATGGAGGTGATGAAGATAGCCAACCAACAACATCATCAACAACAAGCACCAATCATCATCAACGGCAGAAACCGAAATGAAGTAGTTTCTTTCATCCACCTAGGCAGCATCGTTTCAAATACAGGTGGCACAGATGAGGATGTCAAAACCAAGATCGGAAATACAGCAAGACAGGCCTTCATTAATCTGAAATAATCGGTGTGGAGATCCTCTGCACTCAGCAAAAAGCGTGAACAACATCCGAATTTTCAACATCAACGTTAAGTCAGTGCTTCTATATGATGTTTCAGAGACTTGGTGTGTTACGAAAAGCGTTTCCAACAAACTGCAGATATAAATCAACAGCTGCCGCCTATGTTCACTCTATGCTGATGACGGTGACATGGAAGGGATCATGTGAGGAAGAAATGAAAGCTTGTGGGTAGTCGTGGCACCAGGTTCAAAAGACTTAGAGACGTGCTACTGAAGTCCTATGTTCCACTAAGAACCCAAAAGGGAAAATAATGATGAGAATAAATACCTAGGTACCAAACAGCTTTTTCCTACTGATGGGTGTTCTAGAAGTAATCAAGTGTCACGGTATAAATGCTCCGCCTAAAACTGTGGACAATCACACTTTGTACATAAAATAACTGTAAATTTCTGTTTTTTCTGTGTTACTCTGCTAATATAATTTCACTTATACATTCATTTCAGCCACCCCAAGATGTCGATGAATATATGCAACGTTCTAGAGCAATGGTAAAGGGTCCAGTTGGTGAAAATGTTACCATGTATCAAGATATCCGAGTGACAATGGTAAGTAACATGCTGTAGATATTTTGAAATTTCTTCTTATTAGTTGGAGTTTTGGAAGCCTTAAATTTTTATTTTATTGAAGGTAGAGTGAAATCACATTCAGACTCTATACAATACGACTATTCAGTTCAGATTAATACAAGTGATACATTCTGCAATAAACAAAGTCATGATGTCTCGTTTGATGAAAAATTTGAGTTATTGTATGAAATCTAATTAGGTGAATTGTACTTTATCTTAATTCCTAGTGTGAAGTGTGACACAATACTGTTATCCACTTTGTTGCCTCTACTTAAGATGACACATTGAAAAATTTTCTTATGTTCTTAGATGTTTGATTTAAATGATCTAATTTACATTAATTTTTTGCAACAGTTTGACTAATGAATTTACTTCCTTTTTCGAATATTATTTCAGTATAATTTCATTTTCTTTCATTTCCTTAATGACATTTGGAAAGTCGAGTATAAATGACTAGCAGTATTTATCCATTTGTAATCTATAGAATGTTTAATTTTGTCATTTTCACCTCAATTTACCTGGAATGATTTTCATTTATATATATATATATATATATATATATATATATATATATATATATATATATATATATATATATATATATATATATATATATATATATATATATATATATATATATATATATATATATGGTAACTTCATAACTGGATCATCAGTCGAGTGAATAATGATAATACAGTTGATATTAAATTTCACATCAATAAAACTGTCTGTTGAAAGCAATGCATTTAATAGTGACACAAAGATACGGAAATAAATACTTCTTTAACACGTAGAAGATACAAAGAGGCAGATTTATTTATTATCAAAAGGATCGATTATCGATGAGACAAAAATTGTAAAGAAACGGATGTTTACAAAATATGATTTCATATACCTTTGCATTAACCTTTTGGTATTTTTTGACTCGACTGGTTATTAACACAAATAGGAGCTGGTAGCACCCACCTACTAGAAGAGAAAATTGGACAACTCTGAAACACTTCGCATATTATTATTATTATTTATCCCTTGGGTTCCTAGTGGAACATACGCATTCAGTAGCACGTCTCCATTACACTCTCTTCTCTGAAATCTTTTCAGCCTGGCTCTACAACAGTCTACAAGCTCTCATTCCCTCCTCACACCATCTCCTCCATGTCACCCTCGCTCAGACGCTCAACTCGTCGTTTCCCATCTGGGTTCCGATCGAGGGCCTATCCCCGAATGGTCTTCTCAGTGTATGCCCAGTCCAGTCAATCTTCACTTTCCTCTGCATGTTTCTTGAGCGATAGGTTCTTGGTTGATTTGTTGCCAGTCAGAGTTCCTTGTTGCTTATTCTTTCTGGTCATCCATATGATCTTCAGTATAGAGTGAGCGTAGGCGTAGGTGGTAGTTGTTGATGAATGTCTGTAGTCTGTTGGAAATCCCTTTCGTAACGCTCTAAGTCTCTGAACCATCATATAGAAGCACTGACTTGACATTGGTGTTGAAAATCCAGATCTTGTTCACGCTTTATGCTGAGTGCGATGCGGTAGATCTCCACACTGATTTCAAGCTAGTGAACGCCTGTCTTGCTTTTCCGATCCTGGTTTTGACATCCTCGTCTATGCCACTTCGCGTATATGTGACTTGAATCTTCGTGTTCAAATGCACTTCTTAGTCAGTTTTGTTACTATAGACAAAAACTATGTGGAAGCTTAGACTGTAAATATTTGACTCAGAATTCTATTATTTACACTAGTAGGCTCCACATGTTGTACAGCCTCATGAAGATAATTGCTCAAACCTGATTTCTGTGAAGATACCACCTCCTACTTTTCCATCAACCAAAATACGAAGACTAAATACACTTAATTTACTCAATTTTACTGATTAAGAGTAGCAAGAGAATCTTCTGAGAATATGCTGCTTGTCTCATATGAGACTACACAACTGCTTACATCTAAATCTCATTGAGCTTTACCTTTTAGGTCCTAAGCAAAATGAAAACAAAATTCCACTGTTAACCGCTGCCAAGTAGCATAAACATGTAACCAAAAACAGTACTGAGGCATCTATGTCGGTACAAGCTGATCGTTTCGGTACAGCAGTATGAAACTTCAAGCTACAATGGCACTTCACTTAAGGGTAAATAATTGTCAATGAATTCATTTCATGTGGTAGGGTAAAACATGTGCGAGCTTTTAAGATATTTAAGCAAAACAACTTCCAGCCGTAGCTGTTATTGCACACCGCTGTAACGGGTGAATACAATGACTGTACAGTTGTTGGCGTAAAGGATCATTAAAGTTACATAGTGCACTAATTGAAGTAATAACCTCTTCAAAATATTCAGGGGTTTTAGACTTCATAAGGGTTACAAGACCAGTAGTCAATGTGTTTACTATCTTTAGTATTTGTGCTAACAACCTTTTATCATTGTAATTTGTTCGTTGGTCTTACCACACGGTATCTCTGCATCCTATCGAAATAATATCCAAATTTTTAGCACATATGTGGTAATTTCGGTTGTGTTATGAAGTTGGGTTAACTGTTTCTTTATATTTCTGAATTTTTATTCTCAGTATATTTACTTAGATTCTGGAGATACTAAATAGTTAGAAGCTCCTTTTCAATTTTTATCTGATACTGAGAGCTGTATGTAAAATTGAGACATAATGAGTGATAACTTTAACCAAAAAGTCATATTGTGAACATGTGTGCATAAACAGACACGTTTCAATTTGTTATGTTCTACTTCAGTGCATAAAACTACCGTTTACTTTTGAAGGGACCACCTGGTGAACCAGGTGCACCTGGATTTCCAGGTGTGATTGGTGCACCTGGACCAATAGGTCAACCCGGAGCAATGGGAGATCCAGGTCCATCCGGAAATCCGGGATCTAGAGGGCATCCAGGACCTGCCGGAAATGACGGAAAGTCTGGGCCTGTAGGTAGGCCTGGATTAAAAGGTGCTAGAGGACCACGTGGTACGCCTGGTGTCATGGGAGAAGCTGGTCTCTCAGGAGCCATGGGACTGCGTGGAGAACGTGGTGATCGTGGTGACGAAGGTATCAAGGGAATGAGTGGTGACTATGGTCCTAAAGGACTTCCAGGGCCTGTGGGACCTAAAGGTTCAATCGGTCTACAAGGTCAACGTGGTGAACCAGGACCTAGAGGATTTATGGGTTTATCAGGACCTGTGGTAAGTAACTAAAGTTTTTAAGCTTATATTGTTGTCATTGGCAATACTTTTAATATAACGAAATATATTAAAGCTGTGTCATGATGAATTCTGCATAAATGAATATCTATTGACTACTCTGTCATATTACTTGGTGATCAGTTAACTTTTGTTCACAAACTAGAACTTACAAACTTAACTCATCCAAGTGCGAATAGCTCCTAGACGAAATTGGCAACGAGTGGATATTATTTAGAGGAGTTATTTATATACAATGTATTCAAAAGAAAATAACATTCCCACGGATTGCTCCTCACTTAACAGCTAGTTGGTTATGCACAGTATGTGAGTTTCAATGCCACCAATAAGTTTTGCTATCGCTGTAATTTCCTTGGCGATGGCTAGTGGTGAAATCCAAGACGTACTTTTCGTCCCATTTGGGACTGGTCAACTGGATGTATCTGCGCCCCAGTGAGTGGTGTTTTTTCCACTGACACTCGAACCCAGTACCTATCGCTTCAAACGCCAGTTCGTTATCGCCGAGACTCAATAGCCAATTTTTGTGTAACGCGTATCAGTTCTTAGTATTTATTGAAGCTTGCAATTTCCTGTTGTTATTCTGGATCGAGCTGACTGACATTTGTTGATATATATGGGCCCCTATGCGGATACTTCGATATGGCCTGGTCATTCACTTAATTGCAGTTTGATTGGTGGTGGCTAGCAGTAGAGTCGAAGACGAATATTTCATCCTATTTTGGACTTATCAGCTGGATGTTGCCCAAATTTGTCACCACTATATCGAGAAAGCATTGCTACAAGGTTTACATGACGATAAACACTTCGTATCAAGATATTCAAATGAAATGAGTAAATTTATTCACTGATATTTCATTCATTCTAAGTAAATGGTTTAAAGAAACCTATCTACTTTCTTCGCTAAAAAAATGGTGATAAGTGGAATTTAAACACTAAAAGATGGATTCAGACATGAGTAAATCAGTATGCCCATTTTATAAGGAATACAGAACTTCTAGCACTATCACTACTCATCAGTCATACATAAAATCGTAATTAGGGTAGATATCTATGATTCATCATTTCTACTTTTGCTTTTTAGGGAATTGATGGAACAGATGGCATTCCAGGAGCACCAGGGGATCCTGGAGCACCTGGTCCACAAGGAACTGCCGGGTTGCAAGGTCCAGAAGGACCCAAAGGTCAGCCTGGTCTTCCTGGACCAAAAGGCGAAGTTGGTTTTCCGGGATTACGTGGAGACCGAGGTGCACCTGGCCCATCTGGTAATCCAGGGAAGCAGGGAGCCGTCGGACCACCGGGAGCTGTTGGTAATAAAGGAGAACCAGGAGATCGAGGCCATCCAGGAAAGCCTGGTATGATGGGAATCCGGGGATTTTCTGGTGGCGAAGGAGAAATTGGCCTTATCGGCGCAAAGGGACCAGAAGGTGCAGTTGGATTGCAAGGTTCTCAAGGTCTACCAGGGCCAGAAGGCATCAAAGGTCGTCGTGGTGAACGTGGTCCATCCGGCCCGGTAGGCGAACAAGGAAGCAGAGGAATACGCGGTTCCGCCGGTTTATCGGGTGCCCAAGGACATGAAGGCAGCCGTGGCCTTCCTGGCCTACGTGGTCCTTCAGGTCCTGAAGGCCCACCTGGTGCAATCGGACCAGCTGGAGCGCCTGGCGTGACAGGTCCAGTTGGTGAGAAAGGATCAGAGGGAGATATAGGACCGAGTGGCCTCAGGGGTTCAACGGGTCCTAGAGTAAGTGAATGGCACTTTGAGTTCCAATGGTTTATATCCAATTGCGTCTATGGTTGTTTTTTTAGTGAATCTATCACTATAGGACATTTGTGTAGGCCTTGGCTGATAAAATATAACAGATTTATATACCTTCAGTATGATTTAACCTTGTACAGGGTTATTCATTCAGCTATGATTTCTTCGAGGAAGCAGACGCTAGGGTATCTCAAATACTTCAAAGACCACTCTATCAACTACATTCATAACCGGTTATGTTTGTTGATTTCGGTTAAGAAGATTGTATTTTCATAAAATAAAGAAACTGAATTGGTTATTTCAGTAGTTGTTAAGGTGGATTTGATAGTCATTCGGGGAATCTTTGTTGTCAATCCTTTTATAAATGAACCATATACATCACTGAGACTATCTCAGCTGTCATATGTTCGGACTATAGTTCATCTGTTATTTTCTAGATGCTTAGATAGAGTTTGACAGTACATTCACAGTCCATTGCTTCATTACATGTGACTGGAAGCAACGATTAGTTCAAGAAGCACGAAGAATTCGGTCATTCATTGACTATCGTAAACTAGCTGGAGAACTAAAAATAGATGACAAAATATCATAGAATAGATGAAAATTTCCTAATCATCAGAAATGTCTTAAAATTTAGCATTCAATTTAGTTATTTCAAGAATGGAAGGAACTACCAAATTCTTGTTCTACTGAGAATATCTAAACTTAATCTTAAAATACTGTAAGTAATCCAGCGTGATGAATATTCCTCGAATAAACATCTCACTTTTAACGTATGCATGTTCAGTTAATTTCTCTTGAAGGATGAAAGCAATCTTGTTCAACCTCACATCCATACTTGATGACATATGTGAACCAAGAGAGTTTAAAGTTAAGTGTGTAAGCAGGAAGTAATCAAATTCCACTATTTACAATAGCACTATAAGATGAACCACCTTGATTTATCATACTAACCAAATCATTTTTTTAAAAAGTATCCAAGAAAGTAACCTACGGTTACGTAAGCGTGGTTTGTTAACGCAAACTAATGAATTTAGTTGTTTCCTGTACGGCTTTTAGGAATACATTTATTCGTCTAAAGCCAAATCAAGCATTACAATGATCATCGAATTCACTCATCATCAAGTATATGGGCGGTTTGTTTAAAGTAATATGGGAGTGGTTGAAGTGGGTGAATGGATAATGGTAAATATGCGAATGATAATAACGCGATGAGACACTTGGAATGGATATGAATCACGGCTTTTCTCTCTCAGAACCCTATGCTTCACTAAGGGGTGCAGATCAGAAGACAAAGACCGTCCTGTAGCTGCAAGGAAAACACTTTATTGGTCAAAAATAGACCACGTATAAGCAGTTTTCACTAACATACAATACCCCCAGATCGAAAGTTGGGCATTTCTTTCTATTGATCAGCTGTAGGATGAAGTTGTCTAATAAGGTTTATCTTGACTACACAGTGACATGCAACAGAGGTTGGAATCCAAAACTTCTATCTCAGCAGTTGATGACCGAAAATGTTGGCTGAAATTTAGCGTGCTTAATATTAATGGTATAGCCTGGTTAAATAGTTCACTAGTTACTAGCCGGTCATAAGCCCACATGAAGAGGGAAGGTTGGGCATACGGCTAGCAACCCTAACCCAGAAAACAAACCTAACCGCTACAAAAACTTAAAAGCACAAACAAAATATAAAAAATAAAAACAAAATCATTCCTCAAGGGAATCGGAGACGCGAAATGACGCCAACTGGTGAAAGCCTTCTGGAAGACAGTTGGCCGATATATCTTCTCTCCCTCAATGAAAGTGAAAGTAAACGTGGGGATATGGAATGTTCACACCATGTTTGAAGCTGGCTGGCAAGCAATCCAGATTGCAAACGAGATGAGGGAGTATCACATTGAAGTGTTAGGAATTTGCGAAAGCAGATGGAATGGGAGTGGACTCTCCAAACTGTCAAATGGAGACGCGAGTCAATAATCTACTCCGTTACTGTCACCCAGATGACAACCACCAGCACACTGAGTTATGCAGTGGCAGTGGCAGTGCCAGTGTCAGTGTCAGTGGCTATCATGATGTCCCACTCACAAGAGTATAAAAGGCTGTCATCCAGTGCGAACCAATCTCCTCCAGCATCATGATCATCACAGCAACCCTCAACTCAAAAGGAAGGAAGGAAGGAAGGAAGGAGGGAGGTCACAATCATACAATGCTACCCTATACACCTACAAATAATGCAGAGTAAGAGAAAAAGGAGGAATTCTACAGACAACTGCAATCAACACTGGAGAAAGAAGTGAAGAAGAGTGTGTGGAAAGACAAAAGACACTCGTACGACACATTGTCAAGTGAAGCATCACAGGCTGCAGGCTGCAGTCTGCAGGTAGGAGAGATAGAGAACTGACAAGATTGTATCAAATAACCAGGTTACTATGTGGTAGTGAAGAGATCAACGCAGATGAGACCAATAAGAGATGATGAAATGAAGGATAATGAGCAAAGAAGAGAAAGAAAGGAAACGATGGGCTGACCACTTCAAGAAGCTCTTCAATCAACCACCACCACCAGAAACACTGAAAACAGAAGCAGGGACAAAAGCAGACATGCTCACACCACTAATGCAGAAGGTGTGGAAGGAAGTGAAGGTACCTACAGATTGACTAGAAGAAGGGTTACCTTGTCAAACTCCCAAAGAAGGAAGACCTCAGTGTTTGCAAGAACTGAAGAGGAATCATGCTCCACCTCTGTCCACCCACAGCAAGCAAAATATTAAGCCACATCATTCTGGAGAGACTAAAGCATGCACTGGATTCAAAATTACGACCAGAACAGGCTGGCTGCATTCAGGAGGTACATATCATGTGCCAACCAAACTGCAATGCTGCACTACGCATCATCATACAACAGAGAGTAGAGTGGCGGTCCACTCTCTACCTCAACTTCATCAACTTTGAGAAGGCCTTCGACAGCGTCGACCGACAAGTAATTCGTCAGCCAGTTGCTTCAACACTACGGAATACCCAACACAAACCATTATCAGCCTCATTCAACAAGTGTATGAAGGTGCCACATGCCAAGTAATTCACAATGGGAATCTCAGTGATGCCTTTGGGGTGAAGTGAAGACAGGAAGCAGTGAAACAATTCTGTCTACCATCACACATGATATTCTTGATTGTGGTCGACTGGACTGGATCATGCAACACACTGTGAGGAGCGAGAGGAGAGGGATACGATTGCTGGACCACGTAAAAGAATCTAGAAGACTTGGATTTCGCCAATGATGACTTGTATCTGATGTCGCATAAACTTGAATATCTACAGACGAAACTAACAAGTTGTCAGAAGAGGTAGGGTAGGGCAGCGAAGATGGGATTTCGAGTGAACGTAGAGTAGATAGAGGTGAAGAAGATGGCCAACCAACGCCATCAACAACAACAACAAACTCCAATCACCATCACCATCACCATCACCATGAACGGGAGAAACTTGAAGGAAGTAGCCTCCTCCACCTATCTGTGAAGCACTGTTTCAACTTCAGGCGGTGGCACAGGCACAGACGAGGACGTGAAAGTCAGTCAGGATTGGAAATGCAGCAAGACAGGCGTTTATTTGCCTGAAACCAGTGTGGAGATCTTCTGCACTGCACTCAGCACAGAGTGTGAACAACATCCGGATTTTCAACACCAAGGTGAAATCAGTACTGCTGTATGGCTGAGAGACTTGGCAAGTTACGAAATGGATTTCCAACAGGCTGCAGATATTCATCAGCAACTGCGTAGGCTGGCTCGTTACTGAAGATCATATGGATGGCCAGAATAGTAAGAATAAGCAACAAGGAACTCTGGTTGGCTGGCTGGCTGACTGGCTGACTGGCAATGAACCAACGAGGCGAGAACCTATCGCTGAACAAATATGCAGTGGAAGGAAGTGGAGATGGATTGGACTGGGCATACACTGAGAAGGCGATTGAGGACATCATGTGTCAGGCCAGGTACTCGAGTGGAACCCAGATGGGAAACGAAGAGTTGGGCGTGTGAGTCGAGGGTGACATGGAAGAGATGGTGTGAGGAGGAAGTGATAGCTTGTGGGCTGTTGTGGAGCCAGGTTGAAAAGACTGCATAGAAGAGAATGTAGTGGAGACGTGCTAGTGAATGCGTACGTTCCACTAGGAACCAAAGGGAGACATAATAATAATATTTATTATTATTTAAAAGCTTCAAATTCCATTAAGGTCTTCATACGACCTCTTCTTTCTTGTGTTAATTTGACAAATACAGTATTCATCCAACAATCAGTGTATGGTATACATGATAACAGAGACAGAAGTTATTTCCAACTGCGGGTATCTAGTGATTACCTAAGGCATTTTTAAGTGGAAACGTAACGAAACAATTGTTGTACACTATCAACCAATGAATAAAACATAGAAGAATTGAAGTTTCTTCAGAAAATAACTACTTATACATTTAGAGGTAGTATTCATCATGGAATGACATCGGTTGGGGAACTATTGGAAATCTGGGAGCATTGGACAGCTGTTTCATCCTACATTTGTTGATATGATTACAAATGAGTTTCCTGTTTTCCCACCAAAACGAATGAATTGATGATGGCACGTGACATAAAATCACATTATTGAATTGTTTGAATGGTTGATTATGAAGAAAAGAATAGAAGAAACAATGTTGAAGGTTCTATTTCGTCAGCCAATATTTTTGTATGATTTATACTTGACTGTTAACCTGATAAACATCAAGAAGTTAAACTAAGTCTAGACACTTGTGTGAATAGATTTCACAGATTCTTCATCAATGTGATTTATAGTTTGAATATATATATACGCATTTCTCACTTCAAAATGCAACTATTTACGACATCAGAATTCGCATTATATCAACATTATAAAATATGTAGTCTGAGTTGTTCATTGACTTAGTACTTTGACTGAAGAAGTCTTTTCTGTTGTAAACGATATAACCATCATAGATAAAACTTTAAAAAAGGATAAAATGGCTTGGTTTTGTAAGGATATGCATGACTAGTGAGCTTGACTAACCTATGAATACTTAGGTAGGTAGGTTGAATATGACTTTTGCAGTTGCCCGCATAGCATTGATAGGAAATGTTACCTCAGTGAAAGACTCAATATGTATATCTACACCTTGAGGTTCATGGATTTGCTCACAATTCTCTGAATGCTATTTCACAAAACAGGTTAGACAGTGGGATATACGTTTTTCAATTATAGATATTTAATTCAAATATAGCTCAAGTTAGCTGATTGTAGCATACACAATGATAATTTATAACATTACATTTTAATATTCATATTATAAGTATACAAAGAGATTTTATTTTATTTCAACTAGGGCTCAGTAGGAAATCGTGGACAACCTGGCCCAACTGGTGAACCTGGTCCAAAGGTAATTTATTAAAGAAACTGCTTAATCTTTCAGCTCTAGTACATATTTGTAAAGATTATACTACTAAAATTGATAACTTCATGAATATTAGTTAATCTCGTGAAAAAATAAGGCGAGTTTAAGATAAATGGATGCTTAGACAATATTATTATCTACCTTGATAGTTATTAGATTTCAAGTGCAAAGGAATTTGTCATTAGATGTTTTTCTTCATTCAGTCGTACAACAATCGAATCCTTGTTGTGTATGAACTTTTGATGCTTGTTATTCACCGAATACCTGGTTATTAAATTTATCTGATAAGATGACAGTTAAATTGAAACTTGAATACATATCTGTAAATTTGATGATTGTTATTTAGTCTAACTGAGATACGAGTATTCTGAAGGTTATATCAGTTTCATAAGTGAAGAAAATGTTATTTATAAGTACGACTAATAGATTAACACACACATAGTTTATTACATCATAACTGATATATTTTTGATGCTTTCAGTCAAAGTTTACTGCTAGGTATGCAAATGGGTGCTGGATGAGGTGCTATTGGGTAAACAAATGAACAATAGAAGGAGAATAAAGGTCATAATAACTGGTTTATTATTCCTCCATTTAAGTCTTAATATCACAATTATAGACGGACATATTAAAATTTTAAGTATCAGTATAATTTTCCTTTCTTTTGTGAGTATTTTCTTAAAGCTGTCATCATGCTGACTTTTCAGTAAGTAACGTAATTCATACAAGTCATAAACATATTACCTTATGATTCTTCTCTCTAAACCCTGGTTATGTTGATAAATTTGAAACAGCAAGTTAGTAAATCTGGCGCTTTATCACATAATAACCTACTGATGAATTTGAAGGCATGGTTAACTCTGTAGTCAATACTTAAGGATAATTACACTATTCCATTTATTCACTGTGAGAAATAGAGAGCCCAAAAATCAACAAAAATTACACCTAATTAATGTCCCAAATAATGTTTGCGGTTCAGATGGTCTACATGCGTAAAATCTGTTTATTGTTTGGTTTTTATGCTTGCAAACTTTGCATTTTAAATTGTTATTTCTTGACAAAGCATTTTATAACTTTGAACATAGTCTATCGAATTTCTCACCTTTTATAATATTATTCCAGGGTCCTCTTGGAACTATCGGTCGACCGGGTATGTCTGGAGCACCAGGAATTCCCGGTCCACAGGGTCCACAAGGAGGACAAGGTCTGCGTGGTTTGCCCGGGTCAATGGGAAGAACTGGTGATCCTGGAGCAGTAGGATCAAGAGGCCCTCGAGGCGATAGAGGGTCACGTGGTGAACCCGGACCTCCAGGTCCGTTCGGTCCATCAGGCGAGAAAGGTCAACGTGGGCAAACTGGTAAACGTGGGCCTATGGGAGCAGAAGGTCGGGTTGGTCCTGAAGGTCCACCAGGAACACCTGGAAAACCGGGTGATCCTGGACCTGCTGGGGAACCTGGGCATATTGGTCCAGCCGGAGCACCAGTAAGTGGCTTATCCATTTCTTTACAGACGTGACAATTTGTAAAATATAAGTTGTTTTTGACGTAATTCTTCATCTTATTCACTATACTGTAAACTTGAGTGACAGAAATTGACCAGCGCGCAGCAGTTAAAACATGACAGTTTCACCAGTCACTATCTGATAACTGGTTTGTAAACATACTAGAGTTGTTCAAGAGAATGAGTTGCCACTTGAATGGCAGAATGGATATAATTGGTATATATTGAGAGGGTGGCAAAAATCATAGGCAATTACTAATAATGGGTAAGGATTCCTCCAAGAGAAACACAAGAGGCAATGTGGGCATATTAAGAATAAATCAAGATAGAAGCAGAAGAGGAAATAAAGTACATTGTGCAAATGACTGTCTTAGTTGAAAGTGTACAATATTTGAAGACTACTGTACAACAAGTTAATAATAAACATTCCTTCCTGCGTCATAGTCTTGTCGTTCCCTGAGGTGGTATTAGTAGTAGTAGTAGTAGTAGTTGCCGTTGTTGTATCGTTAAGATTGATGATACACAGTGTTGATAAGTAAGTATAAGAGTAGAATTTAGATACTACAGTAGAGAATTGTTCCATTATAATTCTTTTTAATGTATATGACCATCAAATATTATTGTTTACCAAAGTTGTTCCGAGGACAATTTATTCTTTATAATCACTTCAGGATATTCGTGAAACATTCTGATTTGCTTCTTGTACTTCTGCTATTTTTATTTCTCTGAATTCATTGGTAGTATTGTGTCATTAGTGTTAAATATATCAGGTATCAATTCGATGTACAAAGCTTTAGTTATCAATGTGTCCCTTTACCTGGCCATTCTGTTCTTTAAAATTATCGCTTTATCCCAGCCTATCGCGTATTTGTGTAGCATGCATGGCTACAGCTGAGCACCTTCCTAGACTTCTTATAGTATTATAGTCTACTGTTCTATATTTACTTAGTTTCCTATGTTCATGTAACCTAAATGACCCTATTCATTTGAAGCCACAGTCACTACATGGAATTTGGTAGACCTAGTTGCTTGGTTTAGCATATTCAGTAGCATTTTGTAGCTGACATAGTTTGACTCTAAGGAGGCATTGTAGGTTTAAATCGGACTCTACTTAGCCTCAAAGAGAATCCTTAGTAGAGATCCTGGCATCTTTTGTTTTATATTTCTAAAACTAGGAAGATTTTAAATCCTTACCCGTGGTGTTATTACTAACAGTGTGTGTCAAACTATTATTCATATTATTTTTCCTATACTCCTTATATGTTCTTGGATGTCATGATAGTAGGTGTTCATAAGAAAACAACCTTGATATGCTGCATTACTAGTCAAATCATGCTGTGTTACTTATCCAAGCTTCCCTTATAGGTATTTTTAGAATGACTGGAAGTTTAAATAACGATTAATCTATGAAGGCTGTTTTAGACACTAAAATCTTGAGTTACTTTAAAAGTCGCCCTAGTAGGTACCGAAATAAACAATAACGCTTCTTCATTTTGAAAATAACTACCTTAGCAGCCGAAATATTTAAAGCTGATTGGCTATTTTAGCAGTAGCTACTGTTACTCGCTCAAAATCTTAATCGACTTTTAAGGTCACCTTAGCAACTGTTGAAATAGCCAATCAGGTTTCAGTATTTTGGCTAGAAAGGTAGTTTTTTGTGGAATAGAGTACCTTTATTGTTTATTTCAGAATTTGCCAGGGTGGCCTTTAAATGTCAATCCTTTACTGGGTAACAAAACCAAAAGTCCAGCCAAAATACAGAAACCGAATAATTTTAAGGCTACCCTAGCAACTACTGGGGGCAACTTTAAAGGCCATCCTAGCAATGATTAAAATAACCAATTAGGTTTCTCCGTTTCGGTTAGAAAGTCAGATTTTCATAAAACAGAGAAGTTTAATTAGTCACTTCAGTTTTCGCTAGAGTGTCCTTTAAATCCACTCACTACTGAGATAACCTCTTACTTTTGCAGTGACTTTAAAGACTACCGTAGCAAAAACTGAAATAACCAATTAGAGATCTCTATTTTATAAAAATCTGTCTTTCCAGCCGAAATGGAGAAACGTAATTGGTTATTTCGGTTGTTACTACTGTTGAAATAAGAGAATGAAAAACAGTAAGAGCTAAAAGAAAAGCCAGATCAGAAAGTTGTCCACTTGCCTTGAAATGAGGAGTAAATTGTGTTCAGAATATCGTCGGTAAACAATACAGTTTCACTGTGTGATGTATATAAATAACAAAAGAAATACGGTGAAGTTACTGATAAGTGATTACAAATATGAATATTAGAAACAGAACATCCAAAATCGTACCATAATCATTCAGTACATTAAACAACTAACCAAATACAACACTTGAAAAATATCTTACTAAATTTTATAGTATAGAAAAGATTTGACATTCAGCAAAGTTACGATATTAAGTATAAAAAAAGAAATTTATAGGAAGTTGTAGAGAAAACTGCCTTTATCAATCTGCTTGTTATGAAAAAATGAACTTCAGATAAGGAAATCTATATCTCATACTAACCATCTTATAATTCTTTGCTATACTATTTTTATTCTTTACAATCAGTTTCCTATGAATTAGACAATTCAGTAAATAGATATAAAGAAAGGTTTAGAAGTAGTATTCATCATAGATTGACATCAGCTGGGTAACCATTGAAAATCTAGGAGCATAGGACAGCTGTTTCATCCTAGTATGGGGCTCCTCAGCAGTGCGCACCCACGACCCAGCACAACCAGGGATCGAACCCGTGAACTACAGGTTCCGTGGCCAGCACGTTACCATTCAGCTAGCCACTGGGTCACAATCCAATGGTCCATATTCCCAACTTTTGTTAGCTCACGATATAGCGCAATCATGGGTGTGCACCGTCGAGGAGTCCTATACTGGTCGGACGAAACAGCTGTCCAGTGCTCCCAGGTTTCCTTTGTTCCTCCAACTGATGTCAGTCTACGATGAATAACAACTTGAAATATTTCCAAATCTCCACAACTCCCTCAAAATCTTTATATATACAAATTTTTCATTGTATGGTAGAATCATTTTATTCTATCTAATCCTTAACACTGACATCATTATCAACACTAACTTCATATTGAGGTTAGTCTTGATGGTGCTGTCAAGAAAGGCAATGAAAGCTCCACACTTAACCATTTAGCTCGTAGAACATAATACAGCCAAGATCATCTACCTGAGATATAAATATTGTGCACCACTGATAGAATTATTTTAAGATATTCCAAGTTATTTAGAAAAATGTCATCTTACGATTACATCAAGATGACAAAAATAACTGGCTTCGAAATACCTTTTATTATACTGGGTGATGATTAAAGATGAAGTGAAAATTTGGACCACGGTCGGATTCAAACCAGAGGCAACCAGGTTTCCAGCCTGATGCTATATCAACTGAGATACGACCGCGGAAGAAATGAAAGGTTGTGGGCAGTTGTAACGCCAGGTTGAAAAGACTGCAGAGAAGAGAGTGCAATGAATACATGCTACTGAAGCTCTATATTCCACTAGGAACCCAAGGGAAAAATGATAATAAATTATAATCAATACCCTAATATAATTTATGTAGTACTGTAAAACTGGAAATTGTTTATAAGGAACTCTACTCAACCTTGGATCTCATTATTGTATATTCATATCAGAAAGGGGGATATGAAACTGTAATATAAAAAAAACAACTTCAAATTAATCAAGTTTTCAAATTCACCTTTTTGTTAATCAGTAAAAAGTATAGGTGGACCGAATATTTTACCTATCAATATTGACTATCATTATTCTGAATTAATGAGTGATAATTGTTAATAAATAAAAAGAAAATTTGAATGCTATTTGAGTATAACTATGTGTAACAGAAGTGTTGGAAGAAATACCATTTGTACTAATCATAGCCCAACTGTTCAAACAAATAATATTTACAATTTTCAGTTTTACACATATTTATGTGGATTCTACGGTTGGCCATTGCGATTACTAGACAAAGAATTCACAAATGTTCTTTGATAATGCGCTTTCTATGCAAAATGCTAAAGATGTTTGTTCAATGATAGTTATGGCTTTCTAAAAACTAATATAGTAACATATCAGTTGATATATCAGTGAAATTTAATGTAACAGAAATTCAGAAAAGAGTGTATCTGAGTAAAAAGCTTTATATTTTCATTCCGAAGTTAATTCATACTTACATTTTCCCTGGTGAATTTATTCAAAGTTATTTGTGTGATCCTATCCATCTTTTCATCAATGATGGACATTAGATTCGTAGCAGAAACTGTCATCTGTTAACTAGCTGAACATGATAACAAGTGTCAAAAAGTCACTATGGATCATTTGGAGATCAGATCTAATACATATTGTGACAGTTTGAAAAAAAATTTCATATTCGGAACTCACAAAGTCACTCACAATATTCAGAGTCTTTTCAAATTTTTGGTTTACTTAATGAGGTTTTACAAATTTTTAATACTTACAGGGAGAACGTGGAGCTCCAGGGCAAATGGGCCCACCAGGGCCACCTGGAAGAGCTGGAGAGAAAGGGGCCACAGGTCCCGTCGGACGTGATGGTCCTAAAGGTGAAAGGGGAGAAAAAGGAGAAACTGGAGACAGTGGAACCACTGGAGTGCCTGGTCTTGTTGGGAATACAGGTGTTCGAGGTGAGAGAGGTGAAAAAGGTGATAGAGGACCTACTGGACCTCGAGGAGAACCAGGGCCGGTGGGTATTCCAGGACAAAGAGGGGCAGATGGACCTATGGGACACCCCGGGCCCCAAGGACGCACCGGTAATAAGGGAATACTAGGAATTCGTGGCTATCAGGGGGATAAAGGATCTCCAGGAGATCAAGGACCACAAGGTAGTCCAGGAGACGCAGGTATACCAGGACCACCCGGACCACCTGGTTCTGTTGGAATGAAAGGTCTTAAAGGAGAAATGGGTTCTCGTGGACCTCGTGGTGAGGCTGGTAACATGGGACAGAAAGGAGTTCAAGGACCACCCGGACCTAAAGGACTACCTGGTTTACCAGGTCATCAGGGTGAGAGAGGTCAACCAGGTGTGCAAGGAGATCAAGGACCAATGGGGCTTCTTGGTGAGCCCGGTCCACAAGGGCCACCTGGTGAAAACGGTCGGCCGGGTCCACCTGGTCCAGTTGGACAAATGGGACCGAAAGGGGAGGCGGGAGATCCAGGACTTGAAGGACCAGCAGGTTCAGATGGATTACCTGGACTGCCAGGTCCTGCAGGTGAAAAAGGAGAGCGTGGTGAACCTGGATTGCCGGTAAGATTACAATAACTTAAATAATTGTTATAATTCACCTTTACTCTTCATAACTTTTTTGATAGCTTAACTATTATAATACAGTCACAATCTTCATCACACAAGTAAGCAACTTTTTGAGAACCTCAACTTCTTGACATGTTTACCTGCACCCGTATTGGTGTTCATATTGTAATTCAAACGCAGAACAAACCACCTTAAATACTTCAGCCTAATTTACTAGGCTGCTGAATATGCAAGGAATAAAAAATAATTTTACCATTGTATTAAAAGAAAATGTTTACCTAAAGTTTACTAATGAACGAGAAATGCATTCATATCTAACTTACTGGAGTCCATTAGCAGTAATAAACATCAGCATTTGAATGGATTATCAAATGAAGTCCTTGAAGACATCGAGTATGAGGACAAATAATTGTTGACGTCATTCAGTTGGCACTAAATGCGACGGTACTAGCCTCAATCCTCTACTAAGCTGTGAATGGATGCTGTTGAAGACTTCAAAACTATGACAGAATAGCTGCCCACAGTTACCGTATTTTCATTGACTCTTTAATTGATGTCATCCGAGACGAAAACTGTCTTTATTCGAATGTTGTTTATACTGTAGTTGTTAATGGTAGGATCAACGAAGTACATTTTATCCTATTTGCCACTAATTAAGGTGATATATCTGAAACTTAATAGGTGACATTGTTTTCACTGAGCTTGAAAACTCATCACTTCGAAGACGAAGAAAGAATTTTATTAGTATTATTTGTCCCTTGGGTTCCTAGTGGAACTTACGCGTTCACTAGCGCGTCTCCATTACACTCTCTTCTCTGCAGTCTTTTCATCCTGGCTCCACCACTGCCCACAAGCTCTCACTTCCTCCTCACACCATCTCTTCCATATCACCCTCGACTCACACGCCAAACTCGTCATTTCCCATCTGGGTTCCACTCGGGGGCGTGGCCTGACGCGTGATGTCCTCAATCGTCCTTCTCAGTGTATGCCCAGTCCAATCCATCTCCACTTGCTACCTCTCTATATTTGTTGCCAGATAGGATCTTGCTTCGTTGGTTTGTTGCCAGCCAGCAAGCCAGCAAGCCAGCCAGCAAGCCAGCCAGCCAGCCAGCCAGCCACCCAGTCACCCAGCCAGACAGACAGACAGACAGAGTTCCTTCTTGTTTATTCTTACTATTCTGGCCATCCATCTGATCTTCAGTAACGAGCCAGCCTACGCAGGTGCTGATGAATATCTGCAGTTTGCTGTAAATCCATTTCGTAACTTGCCAAGTCTCTCAGCCATACAGGAGTACTGATTTCACCTTGGTGTTGAAAATTCGGATGTTGTTCACACTCTGTGCTGAGTGCAGTGCAGAAGATCTCCACACTGGTTTCAGGCTAATGAACGCCTGTCTTGCTGCATTTCCAATCCTGACTGACTTTCACGTCCTCGTCTGTGCCTGTGCCACCGCCTGAAGTTGAAACAGTGCTTCACAGATAGGTGGAGGAGGCTACTTCCTTCAAGTTTCTCCCGTTCATGGTGATGGTGATGGTGATGGTGATGATGATGATGATGGTGATGGTGATTGGAGTTTGTTGTTGTTGTTGATGGCGTTGGTTGGCTATCTCCATCACCTCTATCTACTCTACGTTCACTCGAAGTCCGTCTTCAACGCCCTACCCTACCTCTTCTGACAACTTGTTAGTTTCGTCTGTAGATCTTCAAGTTTGTGCGACATCAGATCCAAGTCATCATTGGCGAAATCCAAGTCTTCTAGATTCTTTTCCGTGGTCCAGCAATCGTATCCCTCTCTTCTCACTCCTCACAGTGTGTTGCATGATCCACTCGAGTCGAACACAATCAGGAATAGCAGGTGTGATAGTAGACAGAATTGTTTCACTGCTTCCTGTCTTCACTTCACCCCAAAGGCATCACTGAGCTTCCCATTGTGAATTACTTGACATATGGCACCTTCATACACTTGTTGAATGAGGCTGATAATGGTTTGTGGTAGGTATTCCGTAGTGTTGAAGCAACTGGCTGATGAATTACTTGTCGGTCGACGCTGTCGAAGGCCTTCTCAAAGTCGTTGAAGTTGAGGTAGAGAGTTGACCGCCACTCCACTCTCTGTTGTATGATGATGCGTAGTGCAGCATTGCAGTTTGGTTGGCACATGATTTGTACCTCCTGAATGCAGCCAGCCTGTTACGGTCGTAGTCTTGAATCCAATACATTCTTTGGTCGCTCCAGGATGATGTGGCTTAATATTTTGCTTGCTCTGGGTGGATAGAGGTGGAGCATGATTCCTCTCCAGTTCTTGCGAACACTGAGGTTTCCCTTCTTTCAACGTTTGACAAGGTAACCCTTCGTCTAGTCAATTTGTAGGTACCTTCCCTTCCTTCCACATCTTGTGCAATAGTGGTGTGAGCATGTCTGCTGTTGTCTCTGAGTCTGTTCTCAATGCTTCTGGTAGGATTCCATCTGGTCGTGCTGCTTTCTCACATTTCAGTAGCCTGATGGCGTTGAGGACTTCGAATTTTGTTGGAGGAATTATGTTCACTTGTAGTTCAGCGGCTGTAGGTGGTATTTCTGTACGAAGTACAGCTGGTGGTGATGGTGGTGGTTGTGGTGGTGGTCAATTGAAGAGCTTCTTGAAGTGGTCAGCCCATCGTTTCCTTTCTTTCTCTTCTTTGCTCATTATCCTTCATTTCATCATCTCTTATTGGTCTCATCTGCGTTGATCTCTTCACTACCACATAGTAACCTGGTTAGTTGATACAATCTTGTCAGGTGTCTGTCTCTCCCACCTGCAGACTGCAGCCTGCAGCCTGTAGCCTGTTCTGCTTCACTTGACAATGTGTCATACAAGTGTCTTTTGTCTTTCCACACACTCTTCTTCACTTCTCTCTCCAGTGTAGTGTTTTATACATTGTACTCAGTTCCTCTTCTCCTTGTGCATCCTTGCACTACACTCGTCCATCTTCTTTCTGCTTCACCATCATCCTCTCCCTACTCTATCAGCTTCCATGTGGAGGTCCGTCCACATCCATTCCTCATCTTCTTTATTCTTACCTCCTAATACGGTTGTGCAGGTTTCTTTCCACATAGCCTTCAAAGACTTCCAGTGTTCTTCCACACAGATTCCTTCAGCGATGCTGCTCGATATCTCGCATTTTGTCTTCATGACTGGCTGACGTGAAGATGTGCTTTGTAGTTTCGTCTTTCAGTTCACTTTCCGAGTGTTCTACTTCAACTCTGGTCTATCACCAGCTTCCTTGAAAGCTTTCAACTTGATTTGTCAGGTAGGTTCCTTGCACTAGATAGTGAGTGGTCTGAGTCTACATCTGCTCCTCTTCTTCACCTTGTGTCGAGTAGGCTGGCTGCATCTCCACTTTCTTCACATTCAGATGAAGTCGATCTGATTTTCAGTATAGTGTGTCCTGTTGTCTGGTGAAATCAACTCCATGTCGCTTTGTCGATATCCTTGTGCTTGAACACACTGCCCCACTCCAATCACCAAATCGTTGAATGCACACAATTCTCCAAACAATTCTCCATTCTCATTCATTTCACCTCACCGAGCGCCTCTCGACCCATGATGAGTTCTCTTCCTGTGTTGTCCACTCCCCACAGTTTGGCATTCATGTCGCCCCCCCCCATTAGAATTTTGATATCGTCAACTGGCTTGTGGTCTTGTCCAGTGTTGATTGCAGTTGTCTGTAGAATTCCTCCTTTTTCTCTTACTCTGCATTGTTTGTAGGTGTATAGGGTGGCATTGTATGATCGTGACCTCCCTCCTTCCTTCCTTTTGAGTTGAGGGTTGCTGTGATGATCGTGATGCTGGAGGAGATTGGTTCCCACTGCATGACAGCCTTCGATACTCTTGTGAGTGGGACATCATGATAGCCACTGCCACTGACACTGGCACTGCCACTGCCACTGCATAACTCAGTGTGCTGGTGGTTGTCATCTGGGTGACAGTAACGGAGTAGATTATTGACTCGCGTCTCCATTTGACAGTTTGGAGAGTCCACTCCCATTCCAACTGCTTTCGCAAATTCCTAACACTTCAATGTGATACTCCCTCATCTCGTTTGCAATCTGGGTTGCTTGCCAACCAGCTTCAAACATGGTGCGGACATTCCATGTCCCCACGTTTACTTTCACTTTCATTGAGGGAGAGAATATATATCGGCCAACTGGCTTCCGGAAGGCTTTCACCAGTTGGCGTTATTTCGCGTCTCCGATTCCCTTGAGGAATGATTTTGTTTTTATTTTTATATTTTGTTTGTGCTTTTAAGTTTTTGTAGCGGTTAGATTTGTTTTCTGGGTTAGGGTTGGTAGCCGTATGCCCAACCTTCCCTCTTTATGAAGGCTTAGGACTGGCTAGTAACTAAGGGACTAGTTAACTAAGTGAGGTTGAAGAAATAATTTACTTGTTTGTTAAGTTTGGAAATCATTCCTCTATATAACAGTGACCAGTTTCCATTAAAACTATAACTCCCATCTTCCAACTAATTGAACTAGCATCATCTGGCACTTGATTCTTCTTGCGCGACTACCTTAGTATCTCTATAACCTCTTTATTTTAGATTTACTTGACTGATGGTGATCAATCTAGGTCCACTAGGTTCAGCTAACCTACTAGTTGTATTCATTTTTCTCATTACATGATGCATTTACTTCAGTGTCACCATTTTATTACCATTGATCATCATAAACGCCTGAGTTATCAATCCACTCTTTAATACTTATCTCTATAAAATCTTTATAAGTAACGGTTGTATTGTGCAGAAGAATTTTTGACACAAGTGAATAGATACGTACTCATTGAAACCTTCAACGGTCCTTTTTTAAGTATGATAAGTGTAAGAAAGTTTAAAATGTTTAATACTATCCCTATCATATAACTCTGTTCTTACACAGGGTACTGTAGGACCCATAGGACCAGAAGGCGATCAAGGGCCCAGTGGAGCACCGGGAAAAATTGGACCAACTGGACCACCTGGTAATGTCGGAAAACCAGGAGAAATGGTAAGATTTATAATTGATAATATGTCCACTCTGTTTCCATATGATCTTCTCATATTTTGTAAGAGAATAAGATTACCTGAACTTTGAAATCAACTTTTATGTTTATCGACTAAAAGTCAACAACAATGTTTAGATATACTTACCTCATAAATGACGAATACATTGAAGATGCTAACAAACGTTGACCATGTTAAGATGTTTAGTTGTAATCAGAAGGAATACTATCCAGCCTTCATTAACAACTAAGATATTATGCCATACATACGCCACAATCACGCTGTTTAAACTGATAATAAGTTATCAAAATAATATCGGATAATTATGGATAACATTTTTATTCATTATGATAAGAATATTAAGGTAGAAATGTATATGAGTGATTTTGAAAGATCATACTTGAGAATACAAATCTCACATCAGTTAGGAAACTTGAAAAGTATACTATGTGACGCAGAAATTATCACAAGGGTTTATCACAAACCATCTTCGAGTGGATGGTATGTACACTTCAATAGTTTTATATATGCTATCGTAGGAAATGAACTTAGTTAGGCATTTGTTTCAGAGAAAGAGGAGAAGGAAAAAAATTCGATACATCCATCGAAGAAAGGAATTATTCCTGAATTCACAGTGAATAAAACCATAACAGACAGATTTCAAGATTCTTTGAATAAGACGTTTTGAAAATGTTCAGCAGATCAGTGGTTAATCTTACTTTTACCTTAAAAAACAGAATGAATGAATAAACCTTATCATACTTTTCGATATCTCTTTTTGTCATTTTCTCATTAGAGATAATAATGAATAAGTTTGTTTCCGTTAACTTGATGTACATTAGGAGCTAGTAACCTAATATTACCTTTATAAAGTTTCATTCTCATTGTCTTGGTTGTATTGTGTTATCTGAGCTGGGTTGTTTAATCGTGAAGCTTTCATCGTCTTGTTTGACGAAATCATCAGGTCAGTCAGGTCAGTCAGCAATCAACAGATGTATAAACATAGACCCTATCTGTCAACCAATAAGAAAAATGATAAACGACAGAAAGGTCAGAGGTCAAGCAGAGGAACAGCCAACAGGAAAGTCTATACGATCAATGACACAACAATCGAAGGAAACAACCAATCACAGACCACATCGTCAGAGCAAGCCACTAAGTCACTCACGGAGAGATATTGACAGCTCACTTCATACTGAAGTTAGTGCTGATGATGTCGTCTAGCAAGACGATGAAGGCTTCATGATTAAACAACCCAGCTGAGAAAACACAATGCAACCAAGACCATCTACCTGAGCTACAAATATTCTCCATTATTTCATTCTCATTGTATTGCTTCCACACTAGTCAGTACTCACAAGTCGACAACATGAGATTAATTGTTCTTCAGTGTACCTAATCGAGTCCTACATGAGGTCGGCCACGACCTGAATATGTCAGTAGTAACGTCACTGACTGCAACAGTGGGTGACGCAGGTTTGAATCTTATTGTGCACACTGGTTCTGTTTATGTTGCAGATACCTTCTATTGAAGAGTGCCAACAAGCATGAAACCTAGGTGCAAGGATTTCTGCCTATTGCCTTCAAACAACTAACATCTACATTAGTCTATATGATATATCTTCATACCAGGTGCATCACTTTGATATTTGTATTTTCTAATGAATATAAAATAAAACAGAGTTGTTTCAAGCCGTTTAATCTTAACTTGGTTTAAATCTCTCTAAACTCAGTAGCAGGTCACCATCCACTGGTAGTAGATATTTTCAAATCATTCTGTTCACTGAAAGTTATATTTTTATCATTTTATTTACCACTCTAATTTAGGATTATGAACTTACCATTTTGGTCACACAGTGTGCATTATCATAAACACAAATGAGTCCATTGAAGTATTGCTCATGATTAAAGTGTTTTGCGCATAAGTATAACCCGAAGTGATATAGACTAGACTGTCTAAGAATAGCTGTTTTCTTACTGGATTTTGAACACTGTAGGGTCACTCTTTATATCTTTAGATATGTGATATCAGACGGAAATAGGGTCTTTAATTGACTCAGTACTCCATTTTATTCAGAAGACTTTTAAATGCATTGACATTCATCATAAATAGTTCGTGGAACCTTCTACTGTACAACTCGCTTTTATAACTTTTTATTTTTATTTAATTTATTAGGGATCACCAGGAAATGCTGGTTTACCTGGAAGAACAGGCTTACCAGGACCACCTGGTAAAGACGGTCAAATGGGGAAACAAGGTCCACGTGGTGAGGAGGGACCTCGAGGGCCGGATGGAAATCCAGGAATGCAGGGTCCACCAGGCGCTTCAGGTGTCAAAGGACCTCCAGGAAGTAGAGGACCAGTTGGTCCAACAGGAATTAGAGGACCACCTGGACTTGTTGGACAGCTTGGACCACCAGGAAAACAAGGAAGTCAAGGAAGACCTGGGAAACCAGGTCCAGATGGTTTTCAGGGGAAACGTGGTCCACCGGGTGACATAGGTGGACCGGGAGTTCCAGGTAGTAAAGGACCAGTGGGAGACGAAGGAGAACCTGGTTCACGTGGTGCAGCTGGTAACATGGGTCTCACGGGACCACCTGGTGATGGCGGTCCCCCTGGATTACCAGGAAGTCCAGGCTCACGTGGGCCACAAGGACCATTAGTAAGTTGTTATCCAGTACATTGAGATACTTACTGATCTTCTTATAAAGTTCCCAAGCTTTCACTGTAAAATTCCCCTATTTGCTGAAGAGATAAGGTTCTGTCAGACACTTAGTTACAAATGGTTGACTTAGTAAAGAAATCTAATTTGACAAATTAGCTATTAAACTTAATTGAAGTTTGACTTTAGCTCCTGATCAGTGAAATAAGCAACTGGAAACCACTTATTCTTTGGTCAGTAGTGGTCCTTTGTGGGATCAAACTTATTTAATCACTAGATGGTAGTTTTACTCACTCATAGCTGGAACTAATCGGTGGTGTACTGAAAGATTTCTAATTCCTGAGGCCATATTTTGTTAAGAATATTATCAGAGTCAACCAGGTCTAATTTTATGCTTTGAAAATTCTAGTTTCCAGAGGAATCATCTTTACTACTGACAGACAGTTCTACAGATGATTACTTTGACTCAAAGAGAAATGAGAAGTTTTTGTTTTTTATTAAAAATATATTGCAAAGCTGAGGTTAAACGGGATGATGATAAGCATTTTAAACACTAAACTAATTCAAAAGGTGAATTGCTCATCCTAATAGAGTCTAAACACCTACAAATATGTACTCTTCTCAGTATCCTACTTATCTAAGGGTATTTTATACTGTAACAGTAATTACGGGAAAGTGAAGACACTAACAGACAATAGTTTATGTGGTAATAGTAAGGTTTCCTGAGATTCAAGAGAACTTGCCAAATTTATTAGTGATTCAATCAGAGTAAGGGATGAATATTTGTTAATTCATTGTAGGTTCAAGAGTTGCTTACAGAGAGTAATTAGTTGATATTTTTCTGAAATAACTTTAAGGAATTTGTTAGAGATTTCCAGCAAAATGTTTAAGAATATACAGCAACCTTTTGATGTGATCATCGAATTGGAAGCCTATCATTTCAATGTTCAACTGAAAAAGTTTTAATTTTTTGGTGTTTTCAAACGAATGACTGTCATTTATTACTTTTAAATCAAAATTTCAGGTAAATCATGGAGTGAAATAATCCCGGTCCTCAATATAATTGAAGACTGTAAACACTGAAAATGTTTCTAATCTGTTTAACTACAAAAGATCATATGTGAACTAGAATTCGGATCTAATCCTTTCAGTTAATTTTGAATGTTTCAGAAAATATATTGCATACTCCTGGACTGAATAAAGTACAACAATTATTTGTTTATTAAATTGAAATTCATTTATGAATATTTTTTTCATGAACTCCTCTCCAGGGTGAAGTTGGTCTTAAAGGTGAAACAGGTCTTCCAGGAATACCAGGAACAGTTGGGCAACCTGGACCAATGGTAAGACTTAATGTTTATTGATATTGGTTTTTCATATCTCTTCAAATTGCTACTTATAGGTTAATTAAAGTATGAGACTTATGTAATATCACTAGCTAACCTTAAGTGATGAATGCATTTTTCAAGGGCTAAATAAACAAATGGTAGAACTTCAGTGCAGATAAATGGGAAGTAGGAAATCGAATCTGAACAGCACAACATTGAATCTGTTAGTATCTAGTGATTCGTAACCACCACACCCATGGAATCGGTAGTCTTACTCGGCTAACATACAACTGGGTCACTACTTCTTCGGTTCCCTTACATCTTTCTGGAAAAGACTATTCTGCCTTTGTAACTAATTGTTAATAAAGAATGTTATTGTTTCTAGTGATTGCTAGATGGTGGTTTCAAATCCTAGCTGAATTTAGTTGAAAATCATCGATAAAGGAGTTAGGTAAGAATTACTAACCTAAACAAAAACACAACAGGATTCAGTACAATAGTTAAAATCAAAGTGTTACAGAGCTTACAAGGTTGTATTAGTAGTATGAAGGAAAAGCTGAAAGAATAGTGAGTTTAGTGTCATTGCTTGTATTATACCGTAGTTGATTGGACCGAATTGATCCGCCTCTATTGGCGTATGGGCTCCTGTGCGGATGCCTCGATATACCTGTGTTATAGTTATAGTAAAGGTGGATAGTAGCTAGCAGTGGAATCCAGGATGCTCGTTTCGTCCTGTTTGGGACTCTTCGGCTGGATTTAACTGCCTCCCAGTGAGTGATGTTGTTCGTGGGATTCGGACTCGACAGCGACTGCTTCTAACGCCAGAGCATTATCCACTACACCACCCAGCCACGATAGCCACTTCTGTAATGTAACAAGAACACAGGTATATCGAGGCATCCGCATCGAAGCCCATATACTATTAGAAACCGATCAATTCGGTCCAATCAACGACGGCGTAATACAAGCAATAGCACTAAAAGTATACCCGTCGCACGAGAAATGGCTATTGTGGCTCGGTGGTGTAGTGGATAACTTTTTGGCGTTTGAAGCGATTGCTCTCGAGTCCGAATCCCGGTGGGAACAACATCACTCACTGGAAGGTAAGTACATCCAGCTGACGAGTCCCAAATAGCACGAAATGCGCATCCTGGATTCCACTGCTAGCCACTATCCATCTTTGTTATAAATGGTGAGTTTACTTCTGAAAGTAATAAAAATTCTAAGAATAGCCATCAAAGTTGTTATTTTAGTAAGATACAACTTGTAACTTTAAGGTTGGATAAGATGCGCTGACTTCGCAATTTTTTATAAACAGTCTGTTGTGGAGCCAGGTTGAAAGGATTTCCGAGAAGACAGTGGAGTGGAGACGCGCTACTGAATGCTTATGTTCCATTAGGAACCCAAGGGATAAATAATATAATAATAATAATCATTGAATGAAGTCATCTTAAAGCATAGGTTTCAATGGCTTGGACTTTTGTTGCGAATATCTTATTAGTAGCTTCTTAACCGCTCACATTTTACTTGCCCTGGGACTGACTGCAAAAGGTAGGGAGGTGATCATTGAGTGATATAGTGCCATAGGAGAAAGGATTGTTAAGTTAGGTTGGCATTGATTATTACCCTACTAGTCATTGGATGAAATTCGATAGACCACGAAATTTAGTGGCTATAAATATCAGCAAAATTGGGTCAGAATCGAAACTAGTAACTATTGTGCTGTGGCTTTCTGTTTTTTTTTTCTATCATTGAACAGTAAAAAGAGAGTAGCATATTTCTGTTTCTGTTCTTTTTCACTTTTTCTACTTCATTTTTTGTCCCCTTAACGTTGTTATATTATTTTGTATAGCTTATCTGTTAATGTTCATGTTTTTAATTTTAAAAAATATAAATTGAGCAAATCTTCCTTACTGGTTGATTTCAGTTTAGCGAAGGATATTATAGGAAAGAATTCACTTATGGTAAGAAAACAATTAAATACAGCAGTGTGTATATACCTGAAGTACTTCATATTGAATGCAGTTGGATCCATGCAATAGGTAAAGATCATGACAGATCGGTCGACTAACAGTAGAAAAAGAAAACTTTGAAAAGAACCTATAAAGGTACTGAGAGCAGCCAAGAAGAATTTATTTAAAAGAGAAAAAGGTATTTAATGCAATGAAATTTAGACCGACCAACTTTTATGGTGTCATCAGCCCACCATACAGCTAAGAATAGTTTCAGTTCAATTCAGTATAGCTAGAAAAGGCGTGCATCATTATTTCGCGGAATATTCCTTGGGTGATATCCATCATGATTTTGAAAAGTTCACCCTATTTGCGACTGAAACATAAACATTCTAAGATGTTACGTGGCAGAAACTGCCTATGCATATCTGACTGGTTTTCTCGCTTGTGAATCATTCAATGGTTTGAAGATAAAATGATTATTAGAAACCCTTTTCATTAACTAGACTTAGGTACTAGTTCTCTTACAGTTTATCAACCATGCATTCTGCATATGAGTAACATAACTATAACATACAATAAGTGACAAATAATTAGAAGAGTCATTTAAATTAGAAAGTGATAGTAAAATTTATAATATGATCGGTGTCTGGAAGGGAAAAACTGGTTGCAAACCATACCACAAGACGACTCAATCAAAGAGGCAAGTTGGATGCATCAGGAAAAAAAATACTGAAATAATTAATATTGTCAAACTAAGCTGTTTTCTTCCCTATATTTCTTCTTAATAATGCTATTTTATCAAGGATATACTACTCTAACTTTGTCAATCAGTTGACGATTTTGAAAGAGGTATAACCTTATCCTCTTAGTTATGATACTCAACTTAACATACATAAAGTAAACTGGACAAATGTTAGTGCGTGTGGGGTTTTGCAAAATTGGCACAGATGTTCATTTGTCAACCAGTATCTAACGAACACAAGTTTGATTCATAATTTATTGGACTATTTGATTTTCTTATTCCCTTCAGGTCGAATGTACTTATCAAGCTATTTGTATCATTAGTTTTCATACTTCTATATCCTCACTTCTTGAATTTAACTTATCTATTTCTAAAATATTTACATAGGGACCACCAGGGGTTCAAGGTCCACCAGGTGAACCTGGTCCTCCAGGAAATGATGGTCCCCCAGGAGCACCTGTAAGTTGATACACTCGTGTGTAACTTTATCTTGATATATTTTTTTGGAACAAAATTAATTTAATTTTTCTAGTCATATTTGGATACGGTAAACATGGTAAGACTGTAATCGAAAAACAAATCATTCTTTCATGATGGAATATTCCTAATGGATTAAAGTATTGAAAAACAAAAGCTCAAGCATTTCCAGCATTTCTGTCTTGTTTAACTACTTTCTGAAACTGATATCACAGCTGAAGAGATAAGAATATGAGACATATGAGATAGTAGCAATGTTGTCCACGACAACTTTACTAAACTGCTATCTATTAATAGTACTAGAATAGAATAACTTTACAGGTGCGATGGTTTGTAACTTTTCGTGCAGATATTTGGATTCATACTTTAGTCAATGAGTGATGTCCAATGAAGTTATAAAAACCGCCTACAGGTGTTACAAACTTCTTTAGAACTTGTTTAAGTTGGTGATTGTTAACTAAACAAGGTCAATCAGCGTGAATAATATCGTGGAAAGACTAAAGCCATAAAATATTTATCGTAGATAGAAGAATGTATGTGGTGCTAATTAGGACAATACATTCTGTCGTCAATGACCAAAGAGATTTCCGAAACACTTGTAATTCTACGGATTTAAATGGAAAGATTGATAAACGATTAATAAACACTCTTAAAGAACTAAAATAAGGGGCTATAACCTCAGCTACTAATTGTGATGCATTTAAGCCCACAGTGTATTACAGTGCATGGTTGCATGGCCTATCTGTAGTTCACAAACCACAACTTCCTCTTCTTTAGTTTTCATATGTATTACATTAGTACCAGTCTTAGAGCTACTACAAAAGCAAGTAAAGAATAGTGTTAAAGATGTATTCAGCTTTATTTTGAAGTCAAAAAAGGTGATTATGAGAGAGACACATGACATTTCCCAATGCTTCATGTTAATTCAGCAAATTACCACTTAATGAAACAGAGGGATTTATTTATTAGCAGAAATTGGTAATGCAGAATAACGTTAGAATTCTAGAGTATCCTCTAAAAGAATTACTCCTACGATGTTACTGATAATGTAAATTTTCTCTTCAGTAATATATATGATGAAAAAATTTATGGAATCTCCACAACTTCATTTTTAGGCGTAATATTAGCAAACGTTTTTTTGCCAGCAAACGGACGGCTGAGACATGCCGCCAATAATCTGGTTACTTGACACATACAATAAACTTATTATCCACTATCAAAATGTTGACAGAAATGAATTGCTAAGAAAATTTAATGATGTACATTCTTCGTTGACTATCAACTGCGACGAGGAACGTGGAAAGATGCTGCATCTTCCAGATATCCTGTTTATTAGAAAAGATGATAGCTTAATGAGTTGAATAGTGGAGCAATAGGTCATATCTTCAAGTCCAAATCCACATTTCATTCGTTGTATACTCATTCGGTAGACAAGAAGCCTGGTTAGATATCTTGGTAGTAGGATAGTAGGGACTTCAAAAGAACGTAGAGTAGATAGAGGTGATGAAGATGGCCAACCAACGCCATCAACAACAACAACAAACTCCAATCACCATCACCATGAACGGGAAAAACTTGAAGGAAGTAGACGCCTCCACCTATCTGTGAAGCACTGTTTCAACTACAGGTGGTGGCACAGGCACAGACGAGGACGTGAAAGTCAGTCAGGATTGGAAATGCAGCAAGACAGGCGTTTATTTGCCTGAAACCAGTATGGAGATCTTCTGCACTGCACTCAGCACAGAGTGTGAACAACATCCGAATTTTCAACACCAAGGTGAAATCAGTACTGCTGTATGGCTGAGAGACTTGGCAAGTTACGAAATGGATTTCCAACAGACTGCAGATATTCATCAGCAACTGCGTAGGCTGGCTCGTTACTGAAGATCATATGGATGGCCAGACTAGTAAGAATAAGCAACAAGGAACTCTGGTTGGCTGGCTGGCTGACTGGCAACGAACCAACGAGGCGAAAACCTATCGCTGAACAAATATGCAGTGGAAGGAAGTGGAGATGGATTGGACTGGGCATACACTGAGTAGGCCGATTGAGAACATAACGCGTCAGGCCAGGTACTCGAGTGGTACTTAGATGGGAAATGTCGAGTTTGGCGTTTGGGGAGAGAGTGACAAGGAGGAGATGGTGTGAGGAGGAAGTGATAGCTTGTGGGCTGTTGTGAAGCCAGGTTCAACAAATTGCAGAGAAGAGAGTGGAGTGGAGGCGTGCTAGTGAATCCCTATGTTCCATTAGGAGCCCAAGCGACATATAAAAATAAAAAAATAAGAAATATACAGGGGCGTCAGTTGTGACTTAATGACTGTTTCCTGAAGCTTTGTGCTTACTCAGTTCTATCAGATATTACTGGTTACCATTCGACAATCTTCTCTTAAGTTTTTCAATAACCAGTGATACTTAAAGAATAATATGCATTATTGCTATTCTAGACTACAATTTATTTGCCTCAATCGATTTTTGGTTGAATAGGGCGGTAATATATGTAGAGTCTGAGAAAACATTCACGGGAATAAACAGCTCTGGATAAAACCGGAAGTACAGGTTAAAGTTTGAAACAGTTAGTCCCTTTTATGAATTTCGATAGCGTAATTAGAAGATGAAGTTTATCTCAGCAATATGATGTATTTGCGCAATACATTCTGAACAATCTGATCACACACTTACTTGTCAAGTCAATATGTATTAAATCGAGGACTGGGGTGGGGGACAAATGAAACAATTAACACAATAAGGGATTAAAATTAAGAAAGATGAGAAAAAAAACAGGAAGTGACATAGTTGATCCTAATCTTGGTAAGAAAACAAAATTTACCACTGTAGGTGTAGTGTAAGAACAAACTGTTTTTGTACACATAAAGGTGGTTTGAATTTGTGTATGATTATGGTTTCCGCAAATCTCAGAATACGTCCCTGAATATTTCTATATAAAACTATGAAAGCTGTTTGAACATTGACTTTGTGACCTGCTTCTGTAATATGTTTAGCTAAGTTTAGATGAAGAGGGTCGTCTCCCACTAGCGTTTATCACTGTTTTACACTCCATTTAGGCACATGTTCTGCCACCCTCAACTGCATGACTTGATTACTTCTCCCTATGTATGTGTGACCACATACATGTAAATTGGTAGACACAATTGGATGTGACGTAATCACTGATGCAGTGTCTAGGTTTCCGGTGAAGCATGTGTTTTGTTTTCTCCACAATGATAAGATTCGCCACGTAATACGTTTTCTTGATGGCTGATGTCAGCCTACGTCTCAAAATGATACTATTTAGCTCCCCTCTGTATGGTAGAGTGATATGGACATTTTCCTTGAGGACCGTGTATAGAGTTGATTTTGGTGCTACTTGACCTCTACAACGGTTTATAAACTTCGTCGGATATCCACTTTCCATTAGTGTTTTGGTCAGTAATTTGATGTCTTTATCCATCGCATCTGGCATACTGATACAATAGGTCCTATTAAACAGGTATTTTACTAGACCTCGCTTGTATTGGATTGGACGAAAACTGTGGAAATTCAGGTATTGTCCTGTCCATGTAGGCTTTCTGTAAACTGACTGTCTTATTAAACCATCTTCTCGTCGACTGAGGAGTATATCTAGAAATGGCAGTTGATTATTATTCTCTTTCTCACAAGTCAGGCTGATGTTTGTTTGTGCGGCGTTAAGTCTATTTAGTAGACAAGCCATATCCTCATGCCTCTCACAAATCACTTTGATGTCATCAACATACCTCTTGTAATGGGGAACTTTAGCGATGAGATCACCAGCCAGATTTTCGATAAATATGACTTAAAAATATCAGCTAGTAGTGGTTCTAATGGACTACCCACAGCTACATTGTCAACTTGACAAAAGCGTTCACCTTCAAATGCAAAGTAAACTTTGTCGGTAGACAGCAATAATAACTCTTTCAAAAAGGTTGGAGTAATAGGAAATGGGAGGTTTTTAGAGGATATATAGTCACAGAGGATGCTAACAGTCTTGAACAATGGCACGTTAGTGAATAAGGAATTCACATCAAAAGAGTACATAATCTTATTTTTTATATTCAGGTTACTAAGACAGTCAACAATTTGAAAAGAATCTTTCAATGAAAACTTACAGAATTTGTTTCGAACTGGATTTAACATTTTTACCAACCATTCGTCTTGACAACACCCTTAATATTTACAAATGAACCTGGCCTACACGAAGCCCGTAAACGAGCTACGCTGCTAAATTCTGACCACTGTGTTGTACTTGTTTTGCCTAAAGTGTGTGGCAAATTACGGAAGAAAGCTTTCGGATACCTTTCTAGGAAACTTCCGTACAGATGTTATTCACAAGAGAATATATTATGTTTGAGAAGCATTCTCATAGAAACAGACTGGGATATATTTGCTGTTGAAGTTTTAGACAACACTATCACCAATATCGCAAGTTGTTTAAGATTCTGTCTCGATATTTACTGCCCTACTGAAACAAAACACCATGAGATTCAAAAAACTTTCCTCTCCTCATCTTAAGAAGCTTCGGAGAGAAAACGAAAGGTTGTATAAGACAAGAGAACACCCTGGAGTTAAAAAACTTAACCGCATAATTAAGTCTGAATTACTTCTGAATACTATTTACAACCAGAAGTTTCTACCGTGTAAGAACTTTTCCAATATATGGAAACTATTTAGAGATTTTCGGTAGGAAACAGATGACAAAAGAAGCTTGTTCGGATGTCATTTAAACGTCAGCAGGCTAATTTCACTCTTCCTACTGTCCAAAGTCAAATGGATAGCTGCTTTCCTGGTTACAATGCACATGATGTATTTAGGTGCCTAAAATCCTTGAATCCATTCCAAAGCTTAGATCCTGATGGTATTTCTAGTATTGCATTTAGAAAATGTGCAGATATTTTATGTCATCCCCTTACACATATCTTCAATGCGTCGTTTTCTGAAAACATAATACCCGCTGTTTGCAACAACATCAAAACTGTACCTGTGCCTAAGTTATCTTCTGGATCAACTGTTAATTCCGACCCATCACTATAACTTCCCCTTTTCTGAAGACAGTGGAGAAATTACTTCTCCTTGTAATTAGGCCTTAATTGATGGTTTCAGATATCCAAAACAGTTCGCTTACAAACACAGGAGAAGTACTTTAGATGCTGCTACTGTCTTACATTATAATATTGTTTCTAGTCTCGACAAAGGTGTTAAGTATGTTTGTTGTGCCTTTTTGGATTACTCGTCAGCCTTTGACTGTTCCTAGACCACTCTTGTTAGATAAACTTGCCGTAGCTCATACTGAGCCATGGGTTACAAAGTGGCTGTATTCTTATTTTTCTGCAAGGAAACTTTACACTGTCTACAAAGGGAAGCGCTCGACTTCATTGCTTACTGAAGCTGGTGTGCCTCAACGTGCTGTACTTTCTCCTTTTCCGTTTTCGTTCTTTCTGCACGACCTACCTTATTCTGTTGAAACTGATTGTATTAAGTATTCTGATGACCTCACGGTGTCCAGTTAACTCTCACTTAGATTGCTCTAAATTAAACGGATTCTTGTTTGTAGTTGGCCAATGGTCTTTCTCAAGTGGTCTCAAGTTAAACCCTTCTAAATGTCAGACTGTTAATTTTAGCCTCAGGCATAAACAAGACTTGTGTGAACTGCCTAAATCTCATGACGTCTGTTGCACTGATGGTTTTTCTGCAGAAAGTAAATCGAGTGTTAACTATCTTGGATTGAGTTTTACTTCTGGTCTTTTATTGGTCGTCTCATGGCTTGTTGACCTGTAAAAAAATCTTTCGTTTAACTTATTACATAAAGAAACTGAGGCTCTCTGGTACAACTCAACTCCTACCTTTACAATTTATTAATTCCTGCATTTTATTTATTCTTTGATGCTGTTCCCCATCGATCTCTCCTGGTCTTCTGAAAAAGGACTGTATTATGTTGCATAGGGCTTTGAAAGCCGTCAGCCAGTAGGGTAAAGTGGTGTGCCTCTGGCTCAACTGATTAACACTGTAGTTGATAGACATTTAAATTCCAGCAAGCAACTAGCTACAGTAATTTTAACTGACACTGAGCATTCACTTTATTCACAGCCCTCTTCTTGTATCTCCTCAAGGGGGACAAGAAGAAACTACATAAGACTGTACGCTCGTACAGCTAAGTATAAGAATTCAACTGTACCTTATCTAGTATGCATATTTTGTGAGGAAAAAAGTGTTAGAACAGAAATCACACATCAACTTTGTAACAGTTAATAGTCTCATTTTAATAATTTAACTAACAATGTAAATTTTTTTCGTTTTCAATATTCTTTACATCACTTAAATTTTTATAATGACACAATTGGAAATGTTGTAAAGGAGTATGTATAAACATATATTTTGTTGTTGTCGCAATATATGATGCTGCGAATTCCAAATTGTGCCACAAATTGTTTGGAATAAAGCGAGTTATTATTATTATTATTATTATTATTATTATTATTATTATTATTATTATCAAGACTTCTGCTTTCAATTTTGTATTCATTCCTCGCTAAATGAAATCAAGTGTATGTTCAATAACTAACTGCTTAGCTTGAATAATTTATAAGCCATTTGCTGGCTGTACGTGTCTGCATTAATATTTATCACAGAAACGTTTCCCCTGGCAAATATCTGGTCAAATACTACCACTACTACTACCACTAATAATAATAATAATAGCCTTATTCTGAAAGCTAGTTCGAGGATACTCCACAGAATTCTCAGCACGTCATATAGCATCAGTTGGATAGAGACAGGAAATATGTATACATAGCAAAATGAAAATAAGTAGAAATTGCATGAGGAAAAGATAAAAATATTCACTCTGTTTGCAACTTTACTCAAAATGTACAGTCAACTTAGACGGATAATCACATAAGCAATTAGATTAATAATACGTGAAAAGCGACACGCTCATCTTCAGTTAGTTTGTTTTCAAAAACAGAAGTTGATTAGTTAGTTCATTTCTAATACTTTCTTCATCACACTATAGACGAGCTAAATACGGTATCGTAGAGTTTTTATATTTTTTAGTACGTGTATAGAGTCTTATGTACTTGCTCTACGTCTTTGCAGATGACCGACATGTAGAGAGCTTCGAGTGAAGAGGATGTTGGTTATCTGATAAAATAACTCCTATTAGATGTTTACATGAGTTAATATGTTTGTCCACAACAGTTTTAACTAGAAGGTTAAGTACAAGGAGAAGATATGTATCAATGAGCAACATAAACAGTTTGAAACCATAACTTTCACCATTCATAAGGATTTGTTAATGGCGCAGCCATTTTTTCATTTACTCTCGGTATAACTTACCAGGATGCTGTTTGACATCAGGATAACCCTTTATCTGACTCAGGATGCCCAGTAATCAATATACATGGTGCCGAAGTTTCGGTCATAGTTGAGCTTTCATATTTAAAAGGTCATATATCAAGGATCTGAAGACATAAAACTGTTTTCGTTGTCATTCTGGGCAATAGATCTTCTTTGGAATGCATACTTTACAATTGCTTTTATTTTTCCCCTATGATTTCGGTTGGCCAGTTGTTTAGGAGTAAAATGGCACATTTTTATAACAAAATGGTCCTGTATGCCTTGAATATTGTTTTGTGGAGGCCTAACATTATTCATAGCTGTAAAAGAATTATTTTGAAAGTGACTCGCAAACAGTAATGTGGAATGGACAAAATAACTTGTGAACGAAGATTATTTCTCTAGTGCCTTGTGTTTCACGGTGCTACCGCAATATTAAAAGCAGAGATTTAGATCAGAACATGAGAATCTTTTTCTGAGAAAAAATTAACCATTATATATATATATATATATATATATATATATATAAAACAGTACTAAAATGGTTGACGAATTTCATGTGACTAACCCTATTCAACACCGATATATTCTGTTAGATTGCTCTGAATTTTTATTAGAATTAATTTAATTGAGAATGATCAAAACTTTTACACTAGTAACAGAATACCTGGAATTTTCACTCTCATTCCAGTTACCTCCTAGCACTTTTTCATTTAGAGTTAAGGTATATTCTTCTCTTGAACAGTGAACAAATTCACTAGAGTTTATTCACAGTATGTATGACAAATATTGAATAGACCTATGTTTTTTCAAGTTCTTTTAAAGTTTCAACTAGGTAATGTACATACTGTTGATATGTATCTTTTCGTTTTCTTCTTTTCAAAAGGGTTTACCAGGACCGCCGGGGGAATTCAAAACAGATTACACATCAATGTTTAGTCGTAGAAGGGATTCAGACAGTGGGATGATGGTAAGAAATACAAGTTAATTCTTTCGATTAATCGTATTCACTGTTCGCCTATCTTGTTTACACTAGTAGGACAAAATTTTCAGACGTAAAGAATAGTCTACTGAATCAGGTATATTACCACCTGTCAAACGAACTAATATAAAAAAGGCGCATTAACCAGTCTTCTTCGCTTCCAATTTGGTTTTATTTCAGGAATTACAGATTATGACAAGAGACTGGGATTGTAGAAACCTACTTAAAGTATAATCGTTTACAAAAACAATAAAACCCTGCGTGATGAATGCACAAGAAGGAATTCAACATTGATGCCTAATATCTGGAACTACATGAAGCTATAAATTGAAGATGACTTGAATTACCGTGTCTGAAAAGTGTATGTTTGCAACATCAAGGTATCTTATACTATAGCTGTCCAATTCTGATCTATTGAAATAAAAAGTCGAGTCCCAGAAATCAGTATTTATTCATTATCAATCTGATAACCCTCCTCTAAAACATAGTTAAAAAAAAATGACTAGTCAGGTTAGACTTCAGCCATATTTTGATTAGAACCGGCTGTCTTTTGCTTCACCTGTAATCGGTACCATACTTCTGCCTTTAATTGAGCTGCACTGTTTTCTAACTGATTGTCAGTTCAGCTCAGCATATAACCTCTTACAATAATGGCTTGATTCAACTTGCTATACCTTGTAATAGATAACGAGATGGAATTGATAAAGTGAATAAAAGTATAACAAGAATGAACGTAAAATATCCAAGGAGTGATATATTTACATAATTAAACAGTAATACAGAAACATTAACTTCTTCCTTATTATGACTTAGGTTCAGTACTGAAAATTAATCTCGTCTGCACAAATATTAAACACTGTCAAATCTCAGAAGTCAGTCTATTGAGTTCAAAACCATGGATTAATACACTACTGACAAGTACTGTGACACTTCACTTTTCTTTCTTTTAATATTATCGTTGTATTTCCTGTCATAAATATCATTGTTTTAGAGATTTATGAGCAGTTTGTTCGTGTGCACTGATTGATTTTTAGTGAGCAGTCAACCTTATGTTGCCTAGTCCTGAGTGCTGATCGAATTCCATCGGTCATTTTGCTATGTAGTACCCAACTAGGAGGCTCATTATCTCATTACATTTTGATGGGTTTTAATTGTTTGGAGGCAATCGGTAGGAAGCACTTCTTGACCTAAATTTTGTACTTGTTGGCACTCGTCAGCCAGGTGTACATGGAACTTCGAGGTAACTGATATCCCACCTGAGATTAGAAACACGCGTCACTTATTGTTGCAGTCAGCGAGGATACCATTAAGTTTTCGCACCACGACTGACCTCCTGTTGTTTGATGGTGTTCCGACTGAGTTTTAAACCTCGTACCAATAGACTACCATATAAGAAGCCAATATGCCAACTAAGGTTATTCATTTCAGGTCTCTGGAATTCTAGGCTTATTTACCATAAAACGAGTTATTTTTAGATAAATTGGCTAAAAATTACGTGTCACTGTAAATTTTAACCATCTGCTTCAATGAGATGAATATGTAATTTGCTTCCTTAATATTACCTTCTTTTCATTTATTTCACTTGTCTTGATTACTTGATTTCAAAAATAAAGCAAGCTGACGAACCCAATCCAAGAGGTAGAAGAATAAGACGTTCATACGATTGGAGTGATGAAGATTATGATCCAAGCAAAGAAACTGATCCTAATGATGAGGTAATCTAGGAATATAATTATTACAATAGATAAGAAACATCTAGTTTTGTGCAAGTACATTTATTAAGTTGTATATTTACGGCTTTTTAATGTTTATGTTCTCATATGATACATTTAAAAGATATACTTAGAATTCCAGCTTATGATAAATAATAAGAAGGCATAGAAGAGTTCATTTGACTGAATTTTCAGCTGAGAAAAATATTATTGTCACTAATCTGATTTATAGTTAGATATAAAATTCTACTTTCCACTAAATTCACTACAGATAATAACTACGATTTTTAACTGAAAATTAGTTACTGGGATTCAATCTAATGGTTGGTTGATTCGGTTCTCTTCTGTTAAGGTTAGAAATATTAATTGAAAGTTTAGTATTTCTTTTCAATTGATAAACCGGTATACGACACCTTTAGAGTATATAAATGAACATTAAATTTAGAATATGACAACTATGTTTTGAGCTGATAAACTCTACTCTCCACCTTATTCTCTTTGAAGTAGGCTTGTCATAATTTGCCTTCGAAACAATTTCCATCTATTATTTGATATTAATTCACTTTTAAAGACTAATTTAGAACTTTTAAGCTACATCAACAGGTATAAGTGCTAAAGTAGACAAATTAAGTTCCTTCATTTCACGAAAAACTACTAATCCATTCATGACATAAGTTAATAAGGCGAAATGTTAGCGAAACTTAGTTCTTTCTGATATAATTGAATGCTTATAATGTTCTAGTAAACCACAATACATTTAGAATTTCAATGTTTTAAGTGCCAGTGATTCTAAAGGCAACCTAAGCAACCTCTGGAACAACCAATCAGATTTCTGCACAAAATTCAGAAACTTGATTGATTATTTCAGCTATTGGTAGAGTGGCCTTTAAGGTCACTCTTAAAGTGCATAAAATATTCACTACCAAATCGGGTATCATACACCGAACACTTAAAAATTCGTTACATATTCTAATGAACTATATAAGTTGATCATATAAAAAATAAAGTTGTCTGGCTTTCCAAATAATGATCCGGTTTTTGGATAAAGGATACAGTTATTGAATGTTCAGATCATTCAGCACAGGTTAGTAAAACCTGAATAGTGACGCAGGAAATTTTTGACGGAACATACTAATAAACAGCATGAGTAGGTTGAATTTGCTTACACTAATCTGCAGAGTTTGGTAGCTAGATCAGAACGATTCAAAACAATGAACGACACTTTCGTTCGTTCTGGGGCCGACCTGATCAGTAGTTTATTTGCAGATTGATTATCCTATTTAAGATAAACTGGTCCATCCAAGTCAATTTACTGGATCCAGTTGATCTGAGTTATTCTACTGTGTGAACTGAACTTGTCTGAATGCAACATTGGTGAGATCGCACACAAAGGAGCGAAATTGCTGTCTGGTGTTCAGACTACTTTGATCCATTTAGTAAAATACACATATCAGTGCCAGTAGTTTCTAACTACTCAAGCTGTTTAGTAATATATTGCATTAGTTCACAGCACTTTTGTATCAGAGATTACACTTTTCGATCTTTGTTGGATGACTTACAACGAAAACCCTCAGCTGTGGGCAGTACCACTATAGACCCTTCAATCTGTGAATAATTTTCCAGCTGATTATCCTATACAGCATTTCCTATTAAGCCCATCAATCTACAGCACGTATTGTCAGCCTATAACACGTGGTCGAATGTCTCTGGATGGACCAACTTCTGTCAGCATAGTCGGACACCTGAGAATCTGTCCGACTTTTAAAAATGCACATATACACACTTCAATTCACTAGCAGTTTTCGCTTATCACCTATTGTTTGTGTAAAACGTATATTCAATCGTTATCAGTTGGATTTCCATAATGCAGAAGTACTTTCGTTCTTAGTATTTGTATCACACTTTGTTAGGTCGATACCGTTCTACAAATAATCATTTATGACTTCTGTCAAATAAATTTCGTTTCTTTGTAATATAAAACGAACAGTCATGTTTCTTAATTTACGCTTGGTTGTACTTTATTGGCTTACATTTCTTACCATTAACACTGCGTCAGCAAGGCGTGGCGTGAGCAGCCCAGGGGTAAAGTTTCTGTCATCGGCATAGAGTATCGCATATGAAGTTACCAAACGAACACCAGTCCCTTAAGTTATGTAGAATCGCCTTACCAGAGAATGGAAAGGAATGTGGAGCGTTGGTGTACAGTTTCCTGATGACTGATTGAGTCTACTGACGGAACACGAAAATGCAGTGCAACTTAGTGTCGCTTTGTCCAGAGTACTCCACCAATGTAATAAGCGCCTACAAATTAGTTTCGGCTGATATCCAGGTACAGAAACCTATAAAACTTTACTACTCTGTTTAGAAACTGAGCACTGCACTACCCGGAATTTAGGATTTGTATACGCCGAATTTAGCAATTCTATTCATACTTAGCATAGAGATAACACAGAAACAGCTGCTCACCTCCAAACTGAAACAGAATTCGGCTGTTAGCGACACATCTGCTATGTTTTCCCAAAGAGGTAGCTGGTACAAATTAAGTGCTTGGATTAACACTAAATAATTTACTGTCGAAGTGATTACTGAGCAGAAATATCTGACTGGAATATCGTCGGAAACCAAGCCTCATTGGTTTAGTATTCTAAGGTAAAAAGAATCTTTGAAGATACTGAAAATAGGTCATAATCAGGCAAGGATCAGTAGCTGGTCTCTTGATAAATAACTCATTGAGCACAAAAACTATCGCATAGTCAGATTCCAAGTCTACAAGGCAGTCATTACAAATGTAGGTACTCCCTACGCGATAAAGATTTCACTTCTTATTGAAATTGCTGCTAAAGATATAATCTGGGATGACAATTCAAGCTTAGTAATTAAACTTTTGAGCTCACAAAAGCTCAACAGCAAAATTAACCCCTTGATCTCTAAATGTTGTTCATCTTACAATAAAAAGGTTAATCGAGATGATATATCTGGTAATCAGTGTTAACCAATAAGAAATACTGAGTCTGAATTACAAAGTAAGGTGCAAACCAGGCGAGTTTGTTCTCACTATTCAATGCTTGGGTACACTGCTGATTAGCATGTATGTACTGCTAAAACTGGTCTAACGAGATAATAAAATAATATGTGAGTTACGATGTGAGACCAGGAAGTATCTAGAGTAGTATATATATATCAAATACACTTCATTTTCAGAGTATTTCACGTGTTGAAGAAAGTAATTTGTTACTAATTAAGTGACGCTTCACGTGGGACCTTACCCAAGTTCAATGATTCAGCACTGGAACTGTTGTCACCAAACCTTTATCACAAAATAAGTATTTTGTGACTGATATTTAATTGGAAATTATTTTTTATAATAGGAAGAGGACATTTTTGAAGCATTACGACAAGTTGGAAGACTTGTAAACAGTTTGAATAGTGGGAGTGGGACTCAATTCAATCCTGCACGAACATGTCATGATTTAAAAAGAGATCATCCAGAGAAGAAAGATGGTAAGTATATCTATTATCGTTATCATTATTTGTCCTTTGGGTTCCTATGGCAAAGCAGAGATTCAGTAGTGAGTCACCATTTTACCCTGCTCTATACAGTCCTTTTAACCTTGGCTCTACGACTGCCTACAAGCTTTCATTTATTACTTACAAGAACTCAGACGCCCAACTCGTCGACTCCCCTTTGGATTACATTTGATGACCTGACCTGAAGCGCGATGTCCCCAACCGGCCTTCTCACTGTATGCCCAGTCCAATCAATATCCACCTTCTTCCTCTGCATATTTGTTCAGCGATAGGTTCTTCTTTCATTGGTTCGTTGCTAGCTAGCTAGCCAGCCAGCCAGCAAGCCAGCCAGAGTTCCTTGTTGCTTATTCTTACTATTCTGGCCTTCTCATCTGATCTGATATTCAGTATCGAGTGAGCGTAGGTGGCAGCTATCGACGAATATCTGTAGTCTGTTGGAAATGGAAACGCTTTTCATGACGTGCCAAGTCTCTCAACCATCACACAGAAACACTGACTTACTTGACTGAATTAGTGTTCAGAATACTGATGTTGTTCACGCTTTGTGCTGAGTGGAGTGCAGTGGATCTCCACACTCATTTCAGATTAATGAAAGCCTATCCTACTATCTATCCAATCCTGATTTCGACATCGTCATCTGTGCCTGTGCCTGTGTCTGTGCTGCCACCTGTAGTTGAAACGATGCTGCCCAGGTATGTGGGTAGTTGAGAGAGACAACTCCATTTAGGTTTCTCTCGTTAACAGTGATTGGTGCTTGTTGTTGATGCTGTTGTTCGTTGGGTATGACTCATCACCTCCATCTTCTCTACTTTCACTCGAAGTCCCGTCTTCACTGCCCTACCTCTTCTATCCACTTGTTGGTTTTCGCCTGTAGATCTTCGAGTTTGTGCCACAAGACACTGGACGTAAATCATCGTTGGCCAAATCCAAATCCTCTTCTGGGGTCTTTTCATCGATCAAACGCCGTGTGCTCATCTTCTCGCTCTTCAGGGTTCGCTGCATGATCCAGTCGAGTCGAGTCGAGTTGAGTTGAGTTGAGTCTACCACAATCAGGAAGATGATGGGTGATAGTAGGTGGCAGCTTTGTCTTACTCCTATTCCCTGTCTTCACTACACTGAGCTTTCCATTGTGAATCACTTGGCATGTGGCGTCGTCATATAGCTGTTGAGCGAGATTGATGAAGGTTTGTGGTAGTAGAACCGTAGTGTTGAAGCAGGTACCTTCCAAATTACTTCTCGCTCGACGCTGTTGAGGGCCTTGTCAAAGTGGATGAAGTTGAAGTTGAGTTGAGTTGACTGCCATTCTATACTGTGTTCAGTTATGAGAATGCGTATCGTAGTGTTGTAATTTCATCCTCACATGATTAGTTCTTCCTGAATCCAGCGTGTTGTGGTCATAATTTTGAATCAGGAGCATGTTTTAGTCTCTCCAGGATGATGCGGTATAATATTTTGCTTGGAGTGGACAGAGATGGAGCATGATTCCTGGCCAGTTCTTACAAAGTTTTGGCTGTCCCTTCTTTGGGAGTTTGACAAGGTAGCCCTTCTTCTAATCTGCAGATACCATCCTTTCTTTTGAAACCTTCTGCAATAGTATATCTGCCTATATTACATAGATTTCTTTTATATCCAACCCTTTCTCTTCGTACTTGCAACATTCAACTGCACAACTTGTTTTAGACCATGTTGGTTGGTGAACTTCATGAACAAATGATGTTTAAGGGAAAAACAGCAAGAGACAGAAAAACGTTGAGGCAAAACTACCTAATATTAACATATTGACTTTTATGATTTACAACTCTAAATGCTTCATTAACAACTGACTTTAACTTTAGTTGACATTTTTCATGATATTTCTAAATCACAACTCAACTGCAGAAATACAAAGAGAATCTGTTTCTTATCCTAATGTAGGCAGAGAATTTGGGCATTGTAATGGTGTGATTCCATATAAAAATGAGTCTATTTGATGCAGAACACAGTGTATAGGATAATGTAAATAATGCTATATCACAGTGCGTGCCATATGAAATAGATTTAAATGCAAACAGCCCTCTTCACTGATTCCTGTCTTTGTAATTTATCTTTTGGGTCAGTAAACATTTAATTAGATTCATTATTTTAATGTTTCGGTTATTAAGTCTAACAGCTAATAATATTTTATAAACATACTTCCCTTTATCAACTTTAAATGAACTAAGAAAAATGATATGGCAGAGTAATATGAATTCATTTTATCTTGTCCGTCCGCTTCAGCTATATGCAACCTAGAATATTGAAAATATTAAGTTCCAAAAGGATAATAACATGTAGTGATTTACTGAAACCAGTCGATAAACGACAGTTACATACTATTTGAAGTGAAACCAAATAAAAATATTATATATATATATATATATATATATATATATATATATATATATATATGTTTTGACCCATTACAATGAAGCAATATATGTTAACATTCTATCGTAATTCGTTGTTGTGAATATTGTAGATTGCATGCATCTGAAGACAGTCAGTGAAACTCTTACACAAAGTAGAGTTTTCCTGCTGTAATGTTTGTTCTTATTCTCTTTAACTATATATTTTTTTGATTAGGACATCTGAGTTACCTACTGGGTGCTTTACTAACCTATCTACGATGTTCAGTTGTTAATAATGTTCTTGTTACTCCACAATAACCGAGTATCATGTCATCTTATCCTAAATAACTGTTCGTTAATCGTCACATTAGCTCCTCCTTCGAGGCTTAATTTAAAAGAACACCTGATGCATTACTAGTTCTTCAAACTGGTCTCTATGAACAAGAATGGAGACCGATTAAGCAACTTTGGGGCTGATGTTTCGAGCTTTGTCTTACTTAACACTTTCAGTTGGGTTTATTATCCTCTTATCATACCTAAAATCCTTTTGGTACATATGTGCACAGTATCTTGTATTATTGCTGTTACAAATCTTCTCATGTTATACACATATAGATACAAATTCAGCATTTTGAGCATTCTTTGAGGCGATATATAACTTCCATGGTAATTTTAACGGGAAATAACATAGGTTGCAGAACCATTAATAATTCTCACAAGGAGGATAAACATTTTCAATAAGTTTGAAACTCTTCAGCAGTACACACCTAGATGATATAACTCCAAGAAGAAAACTACCTTCAAACCCATTATCGTTTTACAACCTAATCAATCCAATATGTCTGATTACAATATAAATTTTAAATGTTGTTAAAGGTTGGAAGTTTATTTGGCCTATTAATTAGCTACTTGCGGAAGTATTTAACGTTAACTATACAAGTTAAATGCTATCAATTGAAAGTAACGTGTACACTAAACAGTAGCTCAAAAACATCAATCATTCAGTTGTAACAGTAAACATTACAACTGTGTATGCAAATCTACCCAAAATAAAAGTAATTAAAGTGTTCTATATATAAATGTTCATATGTTTCAGTTAATTCAGTGAAGTGATAATTGATTGAGCGAACAGTGCAATACCTATAAACTTGATCTTTATGAATATAGTTGTTGAATAATAAAAATATGAATTGTCTGTTAGCTGAAAGAAGTATTTCACACTTTGAAAACCTAATTTCTAAATTAATATATTATGTCAGAAGCAGTATTCATCATGGACTGACATCAGTTGGGGAACCATTGACAATCAGGGAGCACTGCACAACTGTTTCGTCCTAGTAACGGAATCCACAGCAGTATGTACCCACGACCGGGCTGGGGATCGAACTCAGAACCTTCAGGTTTCACCGCAAACGCGTTAACCATTCAGCTCCCAGATTTTCAATGGTTCCCCAGCTGATGTCAGTCCATGATGAAGACCACTTCTAAATTAAAAAAAATCCCCATTCATCTCAAAAATATATTATTCTATTATTATTAATTTCCCTTGGGTTCCCAGTGCAACATAGGGATCCAGTAACATGTCTCCACTACACTCTCTTCTCTCCACTCTTTTCAACCTGACTCCACCACTGCCCTTCACCTTTCATTTCTTACTCACATGATCTCCTCCATGTCGCCCTCAGCTCAAACGCCAACTCGTCATTTCCCTTATGGATTCCACTTGAGGATCTGGTCTGCAGCCTGGTGTTCCCAGTTAGCCTTCTCAGTGCATCCCCAATACACCTCCATTTTCTTCCTCTGCATATTTGTTGGGTTATAGGTTCTTGTTTCGTTGCTAGCCAACCAGCCAGCCAGAGTTCCTTGTTCATTGTTCTTTCTTGCCTTCTCATCTGATCTGATATTCAGAATCGAGTGAGTGTGGGCGAGAGCTGTTGATGAACGTCTGTGGTTTGTTGGAAATGCTTTTCGTAACGCGCCAAGTCTCTCAACCATATAGAAGCAGTGACTTGATGTTGGTTTGAAAATCCGGATATTGTTCACGCTTTGTGCTGAGTGGAGTGCAGTGGATCTCCACACTCATTTCAGATTAATGAAAGCCTATCCTACTATCTATCCAATCCTGATTTCGACATCGTCATCTGTGCCTGTGCCTGTGTCTGTGCTGCCACCTGTAGTTGAAACGATGCTGCCCAGGTATGTGGGTAGTTGAGAGAGACAACTCCATTTAGGTTACTCCCGTTAACAGTGATTGGTGCTTGTTGTTGATGCTGTTGTTCGTCGAATATCTTCATCACTTGAAGTCTGGTTTTCATTACCTCTTCTATCAACTTGTTAGTTTTCGCTTGTAGATCTTTGAGTTTGTGCGACACTAAACATAAATCATCGGCGAAAATTTTCTAAATTATTTCACAAGAAACATACTTTTTTATTCTACTCAGAGTCTCAATTCAACATACTCACTGGTTAGTAGTATACAGTTAGCAGTTTAAATGCTAAAAATTGTTTCTGTTCAGTCTAACTGACTGAATAAACTTGCTGCAGGATTCATTATTTTATCCTTTCAAGTTGGCCGACTTCATACTGGTGTGTAAACGGGGAGAATCA